TTCTGGTTTATTAAGACATTTTCCACAAGATTTCTTCAATTAGAAGTTCTTTGAAATGATACCATCATTTTTTGCTGGCCGAAGAATAGAGTCATCAGATTCTCCCATTCTACAAATTGCTCCACAAATAGCATAACTTTTAAACTGGCCATTGAATCTGCCTGTGACCTTGTCAACCTCGGCCGCGTTCCTCTGGATGGACGTGTGGTCCTTGGCCCCGATGATCCTGTTGCTCGCGGAGCATTTCTGGGGCACATAGAGATCCACGAGCTCGCCAGCATCCCTTCTGCATGTCGGAAGCCAAGGGGCCGAGTGCAAACACAAAAGCTGCGCAAGAGGAAAAGGAGCCCAGGGCAGGTTTTCATACGGCTATAGGTAGCTTGGATTTCTTCCTTAGAAAACTGCCTGTTTTGCCAATCAAACTACCAAAAAATTATTTTATAGAGCTAGAAAAAATAATAACAAAATTCATCTCTAAGAACAAAAGGTTCAGAATATCAAGGGAATTCATGAAAAGAAATGCAAGGGAAGGTGGCCTAACGGTACCAGCTCTTAAATTGCATTATAATGCAGCAATCATCAAAACTACTTGGTACTGGCTAAGAAATAGAGTGGTGGATCAGTGGGATGGGTTAGGTACACAAGACACAATAGTCAATGACTATAGTCATCTACTGTTTGATAAATCCAAAGACTCCAGCTTCTGGGATAAGAACCCACTATTTAACAAACACTGCTGGGGAAACTGGAAAAGAGCATGGCAGAAACTGGGCATAGACCAACATCTTACACCCTATGCCAAGATAAAGTCAAAATGAGTCTATGATTTAGATATAAAGGGTGATGCTATAATCAAACTAGAAGAGTAAGGAATAGTTTACCTGTCAGATCTATGGAGAAGGGAAGAATTTATGACCAAACAAGAGACAGAGAACATGATGAAATGCAAAATGAGCAATTTTGATTACATTAAATTAAAAAGGTTTTGCACAGAGGGGCAGCTAGGTGGCACAGTGGATAAAGCACTGGCCCTGAAGTCAGGAGGACCTGAGTTCAAATCTGGTCTCAGACCAAACACTTGACACTTACTAGCTGTGTGACCCTGGGCAAGTCACTTAACCCCAATTGCCTAAAAAAATTTTTTTTAAAGTTTTTGCACAAACAAAGCCAATGCAACCAAGATTAGAAGGGAAGCAGAAAGCTGGAAAACTATTTTTACAGCCAGTGTCTCTGATAAAGGTATCATTTCTAAAATATATAGAGAACTGAGTTGAATTTGTAAGAATTCAAGCCATTCCCCAATTGAAAAATGGTCAAAGGATATGAACAGGCAGTTTTCAGAGGAAAAAATTAAAGCTATGTATAGTCGTATGAAAAAATGCTCTAAATCGCTGTTGATTAAAGAAATGCAAATTAAAACACCTCTGAGGTACCACATCACTCCTATCATGTTGGCTAATGTGACAAAATAGGAAAATGATAAATGTTGAAGAAGATGTGGGAAAATTGGAACATTAATGCATTGTTGGTGGAGTTGTGAACTGATTCAACCATTCTGGAAAACAATTTGGAACTATGCCCAAAGGGCTATAAAACTGTACATACCCTTTGGCCCAGCAATAGCACTTCTAGGGCTGTATCCCAAAGAGATCATACAAATTGGAAAAGCACTCACGTTACAAAAATATTTATAACAGCTTTTTTTGTGGTGACAAGAATTGGAAATTGAATGGCTGAACAAATGGTGGTACATGAATGTAATGAAATACTATTGTGCTATAAGAAATGATGAACAGGCAGATTTCAGAAAAACTTAGAAAGACTTACATAAACTGTTGCTGACTGAAGTGAGCAGAACCAGGAGAGAACACTGTACACAGTAACAGCCACGTTGTGTGATGACTAATTTTGATAGACTTAGCTGTTCTCAGCAATGCAATGATCCAAGACAACTCCAAAAAACTCATGATAGAAAATGTTGTCTACCTCCAGAGAAAGAACTATGGAGTCTGAATGCAGATCGAAGCAGACTATCTGATCTCTTTTTTCTTTCATTGTTTTGTTTTGTTTCTTCTTTCTTGTGATTCCTCCCATTGGTTCTAAATCTTCTTTACAACATGACTCATGTGAAAATATGTTTAATAGGAATGTATACATATACCTTACATCTTGGGGGGGGGAGAAAATTTTAAACTCAAAATCTTATGGAAGTGAATGTTGAAAACTAAAAATTAATTAATTAATTAATTAATTAATTAATTAGAAACAACAACCACAAAAATAAGGGGATTGAACCTGGGGGTCCATGATTCCCTCCTCCCTCAGGGGTCCATGGATAGATTTCAGAGGGTCTGTAAACTTAGAAAGGATAACAATTACACTTTTATTTTCACTAACCTTTGGTTTCTTTTGCAATATTCTGTATTTTATTTTATGTACTTAATATATACATTAATATATATATAAATATATTAATGTATATACTTATGTACTTTTATATATTTTATGTACTTAATATATATAATATATATACATATGTACTATATATATACATATATATACATATATATATACATATATATGTATATATGTGAAAACTCCCTGTTCTTATCCTTTGATCATTTGCCAATTGAGGAATAGAAGAACATTGAATTTAGAATCAGAGTACCTGAGTTCAAATTCTCCTTCTGCCACTTATTTTCCATGCAACCTTGGGCAAGTTACATCACCTTTCTGGGTCTTAGTTATCTCATCTGTAAAATGGTAGGGGGTGAGTATCAGACAAAGAAGACTCCTGAAGCTCCTTCTAATTCTAAATTGCTAAGACTATGACACTAGGGAGTTACCTTTGCAGAATGTACCATCTCCTATCTTTTTGCTTTCGCCCAGGCCGCCTACAATGCTCTCCTTTACTTCTGAATCTTAAAATCTCTAGCTTCTTTCAAGGCTCAGGTGCCTCCTCTTACAGGAAGCCTGCCCTGATTCCCCATTTGTTAGTGTGCCCCCCTTCAAGGTTATTGTAGCTATTCTTTATTTATTTACTTACGTCTATTCCCCTGCCCTCCCCTCAGTAAAATGTAAGCTCTTTGGGGGCAGGGATTATTTCCTGTTTGTCTTTGTATCCCCAACATATAGTAGGTACTTAATAAATGCTTGCTGAAGGAATGAACACCCTGGAAAACAGTAGATATATAAGAAAACAAAACCTACTAAGGCTCTACATTTTGCAACAGTTTCCTTAGGAAGGAGCTGCAAAGCATTAAAACAATACCAGGTGAATTGTAAGATTCAGAAATCCAATACCCAATCTAGACAACTGGGAAGGCTTGGGAGAAGTGATATTCTATAGATAAAGGTGGAATTATTACAGAAGAAAAGTGCTTATAGATTTCAGTTGTGACCCACATCCAACTAGGGGCGAGTCTCAGGATCACTGAATCATAGAATTTCAAATTTGGAAGGGGCCTCGGCAGCTGTCTGGCCCAGCCCCACCTGGAAAAGATACCCCTTTTCCATTATTTCATTTGAGGGGTCATCTAGCCTTTGTAGAAAGACCTCAAAAGAAGGAGCGCTCACTCACCGCCTGCTACAGAAGCCCTAAAGCAGTTATGACTGTTAAGATGTTCTTCTTGACTGATCCAACCATTTTGGAGAGTACTTTGGAACCATGCCCAAAGGGCTATCAAAATGTGCATACCCTTTGACCCAGCAATAGCACTTCTAGGTCTGTAGCCCAAAGACATCATAAAAATGGGAAAAGGACCCACATGTACGAACATATTGATAGCAGCTCTTTCTGTGGTGGCAAAGAACTGGAAATTGAGAGGATGCCCCTCAAATGGGGAATGGCTGAACAAGTTGTGGTATATGAATGTAATGGTAATGGAATACTATTGTGCAACAGGCAGATTTCAGAAAAACCTGGAAAGACTTTGTATGGTCTGATGCTGAGTGAAGTGTGCAGAACCAGGAGAACACTGTACACAGTAACTGCCACGTTGTGCGATGACTGACTTTGATAGACTTGGCAGTTTTCAGCAATGCAAGGATCTAAGACATCTCCAAAGACCTCATGAGGGAAAATGCTATCCACATCCAAAGAAAGAACTATGGGGTTTGAATGCAGATCGAAGCATACTATTTGCTGTTTTTTTTCTTCTGTTGTGTTTTGTTTCCTCTTTCTGGTGGTTCCTTCTATTGGTTCTAATTCTTACTTCCAACATCACTAATGTGAAATATCTTTAATAGGAATGTATACGTAGAGCCTATATGAGATTGTGTGCTGTCTTGGGGCAGTGGAGAAGGAGGGGGAGAAAACTTAAAACTCAAAAGTTTATGGAAGTGATTGTTGAAAACTAAAAATAAATAAACTAATTAAAAAAAGATGTTCTTCCTCACTTTGAGCCTAAATCCACCTTTTCCCAGTTCCTCATTGTTCTGCCCCCTGTGGCTCAGCAGAACAAGTCTCACCTTTCTTTCCTATGATGGCCTTTCAGATACTTGAAGACCAACCACCATCAGGTCTCCTTTGGATCTCTTCTTCCCAAGTCTCCTCATCCCCAATTCCTTCAACTCATCTTCATGTGGTATAAACTCCAGGCCTTCTGCCATCTTGGTCACCCTCTCCAGCTTATTCATTTCCTTCCTAAATTGTTTTGCCCGGAATTGAACATAAGGGTCTACAATAAGCAAACCTGTCAAACAGGCCAGTTATCCTCAAATTTCTTAGCACACCCAACTGGTTTTTCTACAAATGCCACATCTGCTCATTTTGTTTTTTTCTGCCTAGAGATATGTGAAATGTATCCCCTGCACTCCAGAGAAAGGAATTATGTGTAAACCACAGTATAATAAGAAAACTTGTTCAGGCTTGCCATTAACAAAGAGGAAGGAGTTTAAGGCGTGGGGGAAGTGCAAGGAACGATGGGGGTGAATAGGAGGAAAAGAAGGACAGAGGTACAACTCCCAGTGATTTAGTCACATGTAACCGGATAGCTGGACAGGTTCAGACTAATTTCCTAGTGAGTGGAGGAAATAATTTGGAACATTTGTTGGGGAAATGATCGGAGTTTCAGAGAACACTGTTTTCCCCCCTGCCCTTTGAGAGACTAGGGAGCTATTGCAAATTTAGAGGGCAGTATCTGTTTACAGAATAGCTTTTATTTATTGCTGTGCATGAGTGATTAAGACACACAGATGGATACATGGCTGAAGAGGAAGAATGGAAGAGATGGTGGTAAGTGACCTCAGGTTCCACCAGGACATCTGACAAAATTTTGTCTACTCAGGGCAGACAGGACAGTTGTGACCAGAGCATGGGACATGCTTGTCTGTTGATCAAGAATTCAGGCATCTGGTAAAGTGCCACCCGAGGGCAAAACTCCATTTGCACCTTCCTGCTTACAATTTTGCCGTCAGAACCCAAATTTTTAATGTTTTTACAGGAGAAGCAAGGGGAGCTAGAGAAAGAGAGTCTTGGCAATGTTGTCATGTTCCACATTTGTAAAACAGGGTAATAGTATTTGCATGGCTGTCCTAGGAAGCCACCTCATAAGCTTTACCATGCTCCAAGGTATATGGGTTGCAGTAGGTGAGGCAAGAGAAAACAATATTCATTTGAACTTGCAATGCCAGTTCTTGCAGAATTTGGAAGGTTGACAGGAAGTTTAATTAGTATATTCCAATTTTATCAGCTGCAAATTCAATATATTGCCTAATAATAAACACTGTGTCAGAGCTGTTATATTACATCCACATTAACTATGTGCTTATTTCTTATGTTGTTTTCCCGAGAGGCAAAACATCCGGTAAACAATACTTTTAGCCCCTGTATTTTTACCAATGCCTTTTCTCTTAGCCTTCATTCATTCATTCAATGATCCTTAACTATGGGTCAGGCACTTTTCAAGGCATTGGAAACAGACAGAAACAAACCATTCCCTCCTCTCAAAGAGCTTACTACATTGGGGGTGAGGGGGCACCACAGCGCTAGAAAATTAAATACAAAATCGTTTCTGGGAGAGAGGTCATTTTTGTTCATGATAATTGTGAGGCTTAAGTGAAATAACATAGCTAAAGTACTTGGCAAACCCTAGAGGCCTATATAAATACTAGCTTCTCTGTCAGTTCCAGCACATTTTTGTTTTTGTAACCCCAGCCCCTGGAACACAGTAGATGTTTGACAAATGCTTGTTGAATTGAATTGAATTCAAGAATTTCTTCAAGATCTAGGTTCCATGATTTTAGCCAAAGCCTCCTAGGACTCACTTTTCCTTTTAGCATGTACATGCTGGAGGGCATCAAAAAGGAAAAGAACAGATGGAAAAGAGAGTCCCTGGTCCTACCAAGATGAAGACTCAGACGCTGGGTTGTCTTCTACTGGGCTAAGTGGATGGGGGAGGAGCCCCACATTCAGTGACTGATCCTGAACCCCGAGGACAGGTGATTGTGGGTGACTAACATGGTAGATGGGAACAGTTGCAATGACTGCAGCCATAGATTTTGTTTAATTGTTTTTCATTGTTACAAGGGAGGATTGAGGGCATTTGTACAAAGGATGTAGGGAGGAAGGGAGGGAGGGAAGGAGGAAGGAATGATTTATTAAGTGCCTACTATGTGCCAGGCACTGTGCTAAACACTTTACAAATATTATCCCCTTTGATCCTCCAAACAACCCTGGGCAGTAGATGCTATTATCATGGCCATTTTACAGATGAGGAAACTGAAACAGTGACAAATGGCTTGTCCAGGGTCTCACAGCTAGGAAGCATGAGGCCAGATTTAAGCCAGGTCTTCTAGGTCCAGCGCTCTATTTACTGCACCACCCAGCTACCTGGGAAATCATTCAAAAGACTTCAACCTAACAATCCACACAGGAGAAGCCAAGTGTGTGAAAAATGTCTACTGTCCGAACAATGATATATTGGACAAGCAACTCATAGAGCTGGACCCTCAGCATATCTGTCTTGGACAAGCATCTGCCAATAAGGCAGATGAACAATGAACTGGACCCAGAATTGAACAAGGGGAAAAAGGGCTGAATTATCTTAGGGAAATTGCACAGTGTAGTTAATGACCCCAAGCTTCTTCTCAAAAGGGAAGCCCTTCTTTTAAATAATAGCTTTCTTCCGGTGATGTGTGACTGTGAGTCACAGAATGCCACAGACACCAAAGATTTAAAGTTGAGGGTCACCCATAAAGGAATGAAGATGTACAAGGTGAGCATGAGCAAGCTGTTTAACACCTGACCTGGAAGGAAGGAAGGAAGGAAGAAAAGAAGGAAGGAAGGAAGGAAGAAAGGAAGGAAGGAAGGAAGGAAGGAAGGAAGGAAGGAAGGAAGGAAGGAAGGAAGGAAGGGAGGGAGGGAGGGAGGGAAGGAGGAAGGGAGGGAGGAAGAAAGGTAGAAAAGAGGAAAGGAAGGAAGGAAAGGAAAGAAAGGAAAGAAGGAGGAAAGGAAAGTAGAAAAGAGGAAAGGAAGGAAAGTAGAAAGGAGGGAGGGAAAGGAAGTAGAATAGAGGAAAGGAAAGAAAGGAATGAAGGAGAAAAGAAAGGAAGGAGGGAGAGGAAGAAACATTTATTAAGCATCTACAATGTGCTAGACTCTGTGTTAAATGTTTTACAGATATTACTTCATTTGCAATTGCAAAGAACTGAGCAGAATTAGTGATATAAAGGTTGTCATTCAAGAACTGTGCCTAGAAGAGAAGCAGGGTTAGTGAGAATGAGGTAGTGAAGAGCCCACATTACTGAACAATACCAACTGATCAGAGGAGGGTCCCAGCCTGTTGGTCAGCTCCCTCTTGGGGGGCTTATGGGGAGGTATCATAAAACCAGAGATTTCAAGTTAAAAGAAACATTAGAAGTCATCAGCACCAACCCTTTCATTTTACAAATGGAGTGACAAAGAACCAGTGAAGTTAACTGAGAGTAAGCATCTGAGGCGAAAGCATTAAGGGGGATGGGGAAATGCTTCCTTTAGAAGGCGGGATTTGAGCTGGAACTTGAAGGAAGCCAGGGAAGCTGGGAGGTGGAGGCAGGAGGGGGAGCGTTTTAGCCCTTCCCGTGCTCCTGCAGATGTCTTACAGATTTGATCCTGTGGCCTCTTTAGAAGAGAGATATTTTGGTCTGTACTTCACACAAGACAGCTTGAAACTGAGTACTAGGGGAGCAACAGGATTTGCCTAAAATGACCCTGCCAGAGTAAGGGCCAGGACTGGCACCCAAATCTGAGCTCTCAGGTTTAGGGTGAGCCTACACCTTCAGCAGACCATGGGTCTACCCCTCATACTAGGTTTATACCCAGCTCCTCCAGAGAAATGTTGCAATAGCTGTCTGCAAAGTGCAGAAATTAGGGGAGGGCAGCGGGGGGCAGGGGGGGGCATACTTACCTGCCTGGATTTGGAGCCAAAGGACCTGAGTTCAAAGCCTGGCTCTGCCACTTCCTAGCTGTGTGGTCTTGGGCAAATTCTTTCATCTCTCTGAGTTGATTGTTTCAACTGTAAAAAGAGAGTAATAGATGTCCCCCTCCCCCCCATTCTTTGGAGCTCAAATTTCCCTGGTCCTCTGTCCAATGACTCCTGAAGGCCCTGGGCTGTTAGGAGAGTAGAAATGTGTAATGTGGTAGTGGGAGAGAGACCACGAGTTGGACCCCTTCCTACCACTCCACTTCGTAGATCAGCCTGGTAGAGTGGCTTAGGGAGCTGGTGCCTGCCTGAGGGCAGGGTAGGTGTGGCAGGCTTCCAGCTCCTTCTCTCTTCCCCCTGGTGGTTACACCTTGTCATTTTGGGACATCTCCTCCCCTTTTCTTCCCTTTCAAGCTCTAACTTGACATTCATAGTCTAACACAATTTCACTTATATAGAAGTGTTGGGGGAAGGGTGCACTATGAGAAGGGAGAGTCTGACAAGGTAGCCTAGGGGGAAGTGGATTTTGGAGGCTGAGAACCTGGATTTGAAGCCCAACTCTGCTATTTACTGCGCGTGTGACTTTGGCAGAGAACCTTTCCCAGAGGTCCTCAGTTTCCTCTTTTGTAAAACGAAGGGAGTTATGTCAGACTGTCTCCCAGAGTCCTCCCAGCTCTGTAGCTATGATCCTTCGATCTTTGGGCTGGCACCGGTGCCCTTTGCTTCATTCAGTGCCTTCGGGTTGCCCTGGTTCCCAGCAGGCTGGGTGCCATATTCTTTCCCACCCAAAACCCACTGGGCGCCTTCCCTGGGCAGGCTGGGGAGATGGGGGCGGGGCCCAGGGAGCATCCTTTGCTGCTGTGCTTGAGAAGGTCGGAGGCGAGGGCAGTCGGCGAGAGGTGGCAGAAAATCATTCTGGGCCACTCATTACATGACAAAGTGCAGCCTGCTTAGAAGGGGCGGGGAATGCCGGCGGGCCACTACCTCGTTCTGCGGTCTGGAGCCGGGGGAGCTTACCCGGGATCTCCCCGGGGACTTTGACAGCCTGTAGGAAACCCCTGGGGAGTCTCCGAATAGGAAAGGTGGTGCGGAAGCTGCTCCCCCTTCCCTGAGACTGCCATGCCTTCCCCACCTCCCCAGTGACGAGAGAGTGACTCTCCTACGCGCTTACAGTCACTCCAGCCCGAGGCAGGTACCCTGGCCTCCCGACCCCCACCTTCCGGACTTCCCCTTCCCAAGCGTCCGCCTCCTCTCCGCCTGCTGTCGCGGCCGAAGACCGGAGTCTGACAGATCAGATCTTCGCCTCCTTTCCCTGTATCTCGAGGGCTGGTAAGGAAGGACAGACTGCCCCTGGGGGACTGGGAAAGAGCGTAACCCAAGCGCTGGGCGGGATAGCCTCCAGAGTTGGGGGTGGGGGTTCGAACTGCTTATCTAGAAAACTGGTGAAAGTGAACGTGATTCCTAAGGGTTCAGGGGAGGGGGAAGAGATAAGGGCAGACCCGAATCCCGGGGGGGAAGTCGAGACAATTGCGGACACGCGGGACGTAATGAACGCGTGCATGCAAAGGATGGACAGATGTGTTAGAGGCAGGGAAGAGGGCTCAAGCCCAGGGGACTCCAGTCGTCCCCCACTCTCCCGCCCCAAGAAAAATGAAAAAAAAAATTCAGATCATACATCTTCAGCTGAGCAGAGCTAGCTAAGACCTTCTTAGACTGTCATTAAGCGTTCCAAGAGATGCTGACCAGCACAACTTCCAAAGCGTCTTCCCTGGAGTTGGTGAGCCAGAGAACAGAGTGGTAAAAGGCTGCTTAGCTGGGCTCCCTACTCTGAGGAGAAAGAATCTTGCCTCAGCCTGTAGGTAGGACACTTGAACCTTTTACAAGAAAGATTTTCATCTTTGCCCTGTTAGGTTTTAGAAGGCTTTGGGACCCTTGGGTAAAATTATAGCCTCCCAGACTGAGATGGAAGGGACCTTAAATATCATCTGGGGAGAGCCAAAGAGTGAAGGTAGACACGTGGGCTTTGGAGTTAGAAGTTCTGGGTTCAAAACCCAGCTTTGCTACTTACTGCCTGCTAGTCACTTCCCTTCTGATCCGGGATTTTCTCATTCGTAAAAAAGGTGTGGGGCTTGCTTATTTCCAACATACCTTCTAGCTCTAAATCATTGATAATAATTTAGGATTTGCAATTGATGTTCCAATATGAAAGTCTCAAGCAAGAGCTGTGAGTTAACAGAATCACTCCAACACCCCTAGGAAACATACTTTGTCCCTCTCTCTTCATCAATTTCAGAAGAGGCAAAGCATAATTATAATAATAGCTAGTATTTATATAATGTTCTAAGGTTTGCAAATTGATTTACAAATATCATCTCATTTTATCCTCCCAACAATCCTGTGAGGTGGGTGCTATTATCCCCATTTTACAGATGAGGAAACTTAGGCAGATGGAGGTTGAGTGACTTACCTTGGGTCACAAGAGTTAATGCGTAAGGTGGGATTGAACTCAGATGGTCCTGACTTCAGGTTCAGATGACACCTAGCTGCCATAGCTCCCCAAATGTCAATTCAGTTAAAAAGATTCAATGTCTACCATGTCCTAGACACTTTGGAAACAAAGACAAAATGTAAAAATCCCTGCCTCCGGGTAGCTTGCATTCTAACAGGTAAGAGTTTGACAGGGTACAAACCCTGGATAAATAAATGGAATTACTGAGTGAATATTCTCCTTGTTAGAGTCTATTTATAGTAATATAGAATTGCTTGAGGTACACAGAGTTTTAAGTGACTTGCTCATGGTCACACAGCTGGAGTATTATTCCAACTCAGCTTCTTCTGAGTTTTAAATCACAGGTCCTTTATCTACTGAGCCACACAGCTATTTCTTTAAGGAGCTGGACAAAATATCCATCTACATAAATAACAGTAAGGTGAGCAATAGCTTCTGAAAATGAAGTCTTCAAAGTCGTTTTGAACTCTCCTATCTGACAGGACTTTGTTCTAAAATGCATGATGATAACAGCATGGAGTGGTAGAAAAAAATACTGGACCATGATACTCAGAAGACCTGGACCCTGATGCATCTTAGTTGTGTGAACCTAGGCAAGTGCTGTAGGTCAGTTTCTTCTGTAAAATAAAAGGGGTTTGATTCCATGATAGCCTGAGGACTTTTGGCACTCTGAAACTGACTCTTGGTTTATTTGCCTGGTCTGAATAACTACAGTCACCAAACATGACCTTGATGCTTTGATTTGAGGAGGGAAGAGGGTGTCCTGGGGTATTTGTTTTTCAATGTGCGCAAGTTACTTTGACTTTCACTAGTTGATGTCTACATAAATAAAGATTGTCTTGATGTGGTTTTTTATCTCACAGTTTAAAAAAGGAAGATGTTTACCGTTCTTTCCCGTCAACCCTGCCAACAACCAGGTTAGTATCTGGGAAAGAGAAGAAATGGCTTTGAGCCTTAGGGGAATGGGCTTTAGCTTAGGGCATAAACCTGGGTGAAGAACAGGGCACTGGGTTCTTAACTTTTTTGTGTCATGGACCCCCTTGGAGCCTATGGACCCCTTCTCAGAATCATATTTTTAAATAATTTAAGGAAATGCTCAATTTCAGTTAGAGGTGAGTGAAAATCAAGGTGCAATTTCTTTTTCCCATCTAAGTCCATGGACTCCTTGACTATCTATGGATCCCAGATTAAGAAACTATGTTCTAGAATAAATTAACCAGTAAATCTAGGACGCAGAAGTGTTATTATGGCATCTTGGAGAGAGTATGGAACTCGGAATCAGGAATATCTGGTTTTGAATCCAGGCTCCTGGCACTTAAAAGCTGTCCCACCACGGACAAGCAAGTCAACCTCTCTTGTTTTGCTTTTCAGTAAAATGGGACTAATGATATCAGTAGTATTTACCTCATTTTGTTGTTATGAGCATCATAGGATTGCAGATTGATTCTTGGAGATCATCTAGTCAAATTGTCATCCCACTTTCAGATGAGCTAAACTGAGACCCAGAGAAGAGGCAGAGCTATGACCTAAACCCAAGTCTTCTGACTCCAAACCTTCCACTCCTCCCACTGCACCCAAGAGGCCTGCCTCCCTGTTTAGCATCAAATGAGATCATATCTGTAAGGTGCTTCATATACCTTAAATCATATCCTGTAAAATGGGACTAATAGAACATTGCTCCCAGGGTTTTTGTGAAGCTCAGATGAGATACTCCCATTTATGTAAGGTGTTTTACAAACTTTTGAGCACTTGGTAAATCGAAGTTTTTCTTAATAGGTTATTTGCATACACTCCATGGGAAAGAAATGTATACCTACATCCTTCACACAAAACACTTGTCCAGAGGTGCCAAGCTGGGCATGAGCAGAACCTCTGCCCAGCATTCCTAGGTGGCTTTTTATTTTTATTTTTTTGCAGTTGGCGTTCCAGTATCGTGGAAATCCCAAGCTCTGCCACAGCGAGGTACGAAATATATAATTGAAATGTTTGGCCAAACCTCTGCATTATCTGCATAACCCACAAGGCACCTTCCACATGGATATTGATTGGGTTGTGGTGACATTTTCTGAACCAGAGTAGAGGAAAACTTACTCTTCCTGCCATGGAAACTGCTGGAAAGAGGAATTTTTACAGGAAAGTTTTGCTGAATCATATAAAACTCAGTTTTGGGAAGGACCCTAGTCCCATAAATAAGATTCCCCTCTGCCACGTAGCTGACAAGCTGCTTTGCTTGAGGACCTCCAGGAAGGTCCCGTTCCCAAGGCAGCCTATTTAGCTTCTGGGCAGCTATGATGGTTTGGAAGCTTTTTCTCATATCTCTCCTAAATCAGTCTATCCTCCACTTCCTCCTATTCTTCTTAATTGTTCCCTCTAGGTAGGGCCAAGCAAAATCTGCCTCATTTAAAACCAATTCACTTGCAAGTCAAGACCTCACCCTCCTGAAGTCTTTGATCCTCTGAGAAGGAACACAATAAACGAACAAGCAAAGTGAATCTCTTCCCAAAGACAACCCTTAAAATACTTGACCATAGCTGTCATGTCTTTCCTGAATCTTCTCTAGACTAACAATCCCCAATTCCTTCGCCGCGTCCCATCATGCTGCCTTGTAGCTCTGTACTCATAGCCCTCCTCAAGAGGCCCGCCACGAGTCAGCTGGCAGAATCAGGGGCCTGGAGATTAATAGGATCAGAGGTTTGTAATCGGAAGCTACCTTAGAGGCCACGGAGTCCAACTTCCTCATTTTACACATAAGTAAAGTGAGGCCCATAGGGTGAGTTGCCCAAGGACCTGGGATTTGAACCCAGGTCCTCTGACTCCCAAACCAGCATTTTTTTCTACTATGCTATGCTAGTTCCTTCCACTTTAGGCAGCCCTTACAAACAGATTTTCTCCAGGACTTTTCTTTGGTTTTGATTTCCTAACCTAAGGAAGTGTTTTCTTTCTGTTTGTTTGTTTCTTATTTATTTTTTTGCTTTTCTTCTAGTAAATGGGTTTTACAATTTGGGAGGATTTAAAGGAGAGCATGCCCTCAGTGCTAGTTCATCCCTAGGACTGAACTATTTTCTGTTATCCTAAAAGACATGTGGAAATTAAATATGGTAGCTTCTCTTGTTATCCTAAAAGACACTTGGAAATTAAATATGGTAGCTTCTCTTGTTATCCTAAAAGACACTTGGCAATTAAATATGGTAGCTTCTCTTGTTATCCTAAAAGACACTTGGCAATTAAATATGGTAGCTTCTCTTGTTATCCTAAAAGACACTTGGCAATTAAATATGGTAGCTTCTCTTGTTATCCTAAAAGACACTTGGCAATTAAATATGGTAGCTTCTCTTGTTATTCTAAAAGACACTTGGAAATTAAATATGGTAGCTTCTCTTGTTATTCTAAAAGACACTTGGAAATTAAATATGGTAGCTTCTCTTGAATTCATTTGCTTGAATTAAGAGGCAGTGGGAGTTAGATTAGCTCATAGGCACATTGGAATATGGGAATATGGGAATCTAAGAGGCAGTGAAGTATCTGGGAAAGAACCCTGCCTTAGGTGTCAAAAGACCTGGGTTCAAGTCCTGTCTCTGTCACCGACCATGTGACCCTAGATGCGTCATCTAACATTTCCTTATCAGTAAAATGAGGCAATTGTGAGAGATCAGTGATTCTTAATTTTTGTATGTGTCATGGAACCCCCTGGAAGTCTGGTAAAGCCTAGATCCTCTTCTCAGAAGAATGTTTTTAAGTGCATAAAACAAAATGCATAGGATTGCAAAGAAAATGAATTCTATTGAAATAATTATCAGAATAGGGAAACCAAAAGCAAGAGTTGGGGTCGGCATCAAGCCCAGTGCCTTGGACTGAGTAGGAGCTCAGGGAACATCGGTGAACCTCGGGCTATGGAGAGATGGGGATGGGATAGGTGGACAGTTGGTTGATGGAACAATGGCCCAGTACGAGGAGCTTATGAATGACCAAGAGGATGATGAAGAAGTCTCTCCAAAGACTTCCCAAATCTTGTTTAATAGCCATATTTTCAAGGGAGGTCAAGGGAGAAAGAACTGACTTTGGAGTCAAAGGACCTGGGTTCAAAGACCGGATCTGCTCTTTGTTGTGTGACCTCGGGCAAGTCACCTGAAGTCCTGGGGCTCATTCCTCACCTTCAAAATGAGCAAGTTGATCTAGCTGGCCTCCAAGGTCCCATCTTCTTCTCAATCTATGATAAAATGGAAAATCACCCAACCGTTCCTGGCTCGTTGTTTAACTTCATCTTTTGTTCCCTTATTTTTCCTGACTTTTAAAGGGACCATGATATGAAGCCCATTTGCATTGAGCCAGAAGAAATAAAGCAAAGTTCAGTTCTTGACAGTTTGCTAGGGGAGATATAATTGATGAGGCTACAGCCACATTTTTCGGTTGGCCTCATTATTACTTTCTGCTTATCCATTTCATGGATCTAAAGCTTCCGGGTGCCTTAGAAGTCACCTCATCCAGCCCTTTGGTTTTACAAATGAAGAAACTGAGGCCCAGAGAGGGAAGACATTTGCTTAAAGTAATTGACTTGATATTAGCCAATCCACAAGCATTTGTTAAGCACCTACTGCATGCCAAGAATTGTTGACTATACTCAATCTCTTCCTCACTCCATCCTGGCATCACTGTTTTGTCTGTTGAAAGGACCCTAACCTTGCCAAAATGCCCTGACAGGAAAGCTGTAAGGTGCTTCATATACCTTAAATCATATCCTGTAAAATGGAAAGTCCAAATCTAGCACTCTTCTCACTGTACCCACAGAACCCCCATTACCAGGTAACAACAGAAGCACCGGTTCCAGGAACCCCTGGGTTTGCAGATTAAGTACAAAAGTCACTCCCTCATGTCAGAAGAAGGGCACTCCTTTGTAAGACAAATTGTTTTTGTCATTGCTGTTCTTTCCTCTAGTGACATGGAAAGTCAGGAAAAATAAGGGTAAGGAAAGATGAAGTTAAGCAAGGAACCATAGCCTATGTTATGACTTGGAGGCTGTAGGAAGTTTATCATGGTCTTGTTAGAAAGGCCAGGCTCCTTTCCTTTCCCCGTCACGATTCCTACACATCTATCCAGTCCTGTTCTTTATCTCAGCAAGGCCACAAACAAGGACTGAGAAAACATTAGATGATCATTCAGGCGAAAACTGATAAAGGCTGATCGGATGACATCTTCCTAAATTGAAGACTTTAATTAAGCTATAACTTACAGATGCCTTTATAGAAATACTTTTTAGGTGGGCTGTTTCCTGACAATATCAGGCTGGAATCCTTCACTTCCACTGATAGTTTCACTGATGGCCATTAGTGTCTAGCCTGGAGCTGGATACCCTACTTGAGATATTCAGAAGAAACTGAAGGCATGCCTCTTCACTTACTGCCTATGTGACCTTGGGCAAGAAACTCCACCTCTTCTGGGCCTCAGTTTCCTCATTTGTAAAATGAAAGGATCAGGCTGGATGACCTCTAAGGTCAGCCAGAGTCAGATACACGGTGCCAGGCATAACTCCAAGGCAGAATCCTGTCTTCTTCCTGTGTGTGATAGCTTCTGAGTCATAAACGTGTATTTATTCTAATGATAACCATCTGAAATTCATATACCCTTTAAAGTTTGCAGAATGTTTTATGAGCATCTCGTTTGAGGTTCACAACAATGATAAACCTGTAAAGCTGCTGCTCCAAGTGCCATCATCATCTCAGGAGAATGTAAGCTCCTTGAAGGCAGGAGATCTGGGGGCTTTTTGGCCTTTGCATCCCCAGCACCTAGTACAGTATCTGGCACATGGGAGGAGCCTAATAGATGGTTGTTGAGTCTTACAAATATTTTACGGAGAAGGAAACTGAGGCTCTGAGAGGAAGAGTGATTTGCCTGTGGTCACCATAGAGCTAGTGAATGTCAGAAGTGGTAGTTGAACCCAGTTCTTTCCTGTTTCCAATTACCACCACGCCGCACCGTCTTTTGCTGGAGCTTAAAAAATACACTAGTTATCTCAGCCTGTTTTCTTTCTTTTTTATTTATTGGGGTCAAATGACTTGCCCAGGGTCATATAGCTAGTAAGCGTCTGAGGCTAGATTTGAACCCAGCTCCTTCTGACTCCAGGGCCAGTGCTCTATCCACTGAGCCACTTACTGCCCCTTCGGCCTGTTTTCTTCTACTTTTTTTTTCTTTTTTTCTTTTTTAGGCAGTTGGGGTTAAGTGACTTGTCCAGGGTCACACAGCTAGTTAAGTGTCAAGTGTTTGGTCTGAGGCCAGACTTGCACTGAGGTGCTCCTGACACCAGGGCCACTGCGCAGCCTAGCTGCCCCCAGCCTGTTTTCTTTAAAGTCTCCAAGGAAGGAGACTGGAGAGGAAGCATGCCATAACGTTGAGAGTTAGGAAAATATCAGTTCAAGTCTTGCCTCAGAAACATGGACTAGCCGTGTGACCCTGGGCAAGTCACTTACATGGCCTTAGTTTCTCATCTATAATGAGGAGGTTGGACAAGATGACCTTGACTGTCCGGTTCTCACAGCCTCCCAGTATTTCCGTATCCCCTCGTCCTGAATCCCGTTTTCCTAGGACCCACCTCCCAAACTTCTCACCATCTCCAATCCGTCCCTTCCCCTGCACACCTTCAATGTCCATTGCAATGCACCAGCAGCAAACAGAGCCTAGGCTGACCAGGGCTCTGAGAAGAGGTGGGTGAGCAGAGAGCCCAGGATTCAAGCTTACTAAGGCTCCAGGGGCCAAGGTGCACCTTCAGCAGGGCAGGCCACAACTTGCCGGAGAGGTAGGTCCTTCCACTTAGTGAAGTCACCACCTGGGAAAATTCCTCGAGGCTGAGCTTTGGATTTTGCTTCCCAGAGCTTGGGCTGGCTGGGGGGTGGAGGCCCTCTCCCCCCCTCCCCCAGGCCTTTGAGGGTGGAGCCAGGCTCCAGGGAGCTCCTTATGGCATCGGGGGAGTAGGGCTGGAAAGAAGCTTAGAAAACATCTTATCCAACCCCCTTATTTTCCAAAGGCCAAGGGAGATGAGGTGACTTGTCCAAGGTCACAAGGATGATCTCAGCAGAATTCGAATTTGCACCCAGGTCTTCTGGGGCCAAATCTGGGGCTTTTTCCACTAAGATTTTCCAGCTGTGCCTCTTCCGAGCACCCATGTCACTAGAGGAAAAAACAGCAATGACAAAAACAATTTGTCTTACAAAGGAGTGCCCTGCTTCTGACATGGGGGAGTGACTTTTGCACTTAATCTGCAAACCCAGGGGTTCCTGGAACCGGTGCTTCTGTTGTTACCTGGTAATGGGGGTTCTGTGGGTACAGTGAGAAGAGTGCTAGATTTGGAATCAGGTGGCCTTGGTGCAAATCCTGGTTCTGACACTTACTACCTATATGACTTTGGGCAAGACATTTCACCTTGCCTCAGTTTCCCCAACTCTATGTAAGCCAGGTTTCCAGCTCAGATTACTCCTAAAGTGACAGCAATGGTGGGCGGGATTGCCTCTCTTCCCTCTAGCCTCAGCACGATGCCTGGCACAGGTGCTCATTGTCCTATTGCCTCTGAGTCCCTTCCAGTTCTAGATCTGGGGTCTGAGGATCCCGTTTGGTCTTCATGACATGTCTCTGAGATAGGTACTGCAGTTACTATCAGCCCTGTCTTACACACGAAGAAACTGAGGCAGACAGAGGTTAAGTGATTTACTCAGGGTCACATAGCTAGTGAGTGAGTGTGATGGCACACACTCAGGTCTTCTTGATCTCAAATCCAGTACTTTGAGATTTATGAGTTCATAATCGATGATGCAAATGAAGGAAAATTGGGACAATCCCAAAGAGATGTGTTCAAGACCCTTCTCTCTTAGGGGAGAGATGCTAGAGAGGTCCTATGCAATTGGGAGAAATTGATTCAGCTATAGAAAACCTCCCACCCCACACTGGGGCGACACCAGTGGAGACAGCACTGGACCTGGACTAGGAAGGCCTGAGTTCAAATCCAGCCTCAGACACTTACTACCTGTGTGACCTTCAACATGTCACTTAACCTGTCTGCCTCAGTTTCCTTAACTGTAAATGAGGATAATAACAGCATCTACTTTGAAGGGTTGTGAGAATCAAAGAAGAAAATATTTATAAAGCACTAAGCAAATCTTAAAGTGCTGTATGAATGTTGGGAGTTATTATTATTGTTGTTAATTATTTAGGAAAATCACCTTGTACAGGTGGAAGGTGAAGGAGAGGTTATTTGATACGTATGACTTAACATGATAAGACAGTACTGAGAAGGCAGAGATCCAAAGAGGAGGGTTGGGTCTACTGGGCTGCCAGGTTACAAGATTGACTCCTTCTCCCAGGGTGGGGGATGGGGGAAAGTATTAACACAATACAGAAAGGTCAAAATGAAGACCTGGAAGAAATTGGCAATGTGGAAGCGTTGGCTGGGCTTGTAACCTCAAGGTTGCAAGCACTGCCTTCCAACAACTGAGTAACTTAGAACTTACAGTTCCTAAGGACAAGACATCACTAATGGGAACATTTTTAAATATTCCATCACTTAGAGCAGAGAGTGCCCTTCAGTCAGCTGGCAACACACAGTGAGTTTGTTTTAACTGGAGATATGAAGCACGTTACATTTTTAGAGCACTTTGTACTTCTCAAAGGATCTGGCAGGATCAGACTCTGCTGTCCTGGGTTTGAAATCCCAAAGTCTCTAGCTAGTGATCACTTTACTTCCCTGGGTCTCAATGGTCTCATCTGTAGAATGGCCATAAAATGACTAGTCCTTAGCTGGAGGGGAGTTGCATACTTGCCATGAGAGCAGCAGAGTCCTGGAGTGAGAGACAGAAGGAAAAGAGATGGATTTGAAACCAGAGGATTTGGATTCAGATCCCCCCTCTCTTCTTGATTACCTGGGAGCCCCTTCCCCATTCTAGGGCTTGTTTCCTCCTTTGTACATTGAAGGGAATGAATTGGGTGGTTTCTATGTCCTTCTAGCTCTTAATCTTAAGGTCAGTTCCCCAGAGACACCCAGCTCAAGAGGACAATGACTGTGTGCTGCCTGGGTCCTTATATGTATTGGGGCCGGTCTTTCCATTTTAGGCTTTAAGGCCCTGTCCCGGACCCCCGCTGTGGTTGCCTTGGTGGTCTTGCTCATAAGTGTGGCTGTGCTGATGGCTATAATGCTCATTCAGATCAACCAGAAAGAAGTCCTGGGCCCAGGCCTGAAGGTAAGAAGATCCCTGACTAAGGGGATGTGAAGTGGGGAGGCCTGTAGAGACAGTGTGACGTGGGTTTGGCTTCACTCCATTGTTTGAAAGATCTGGGAGTAAGGAGAAGATTTTCTGTGTCAAGTCTGTTTAGTGGGAGGGAGGAAGGTGCCACTCACACTCTGAATAGGCTCTGTGGTGATGACTGAATCCGCTGGGTGATGGAGGGGGCAGCCACACCCCAAACTGTCTCACTCTGTCTCTGGTTCAGAGCCGAGACTAAGGAGACAGCAGCCACTCAGGGCACAGTGCAGGCCCTGGAGGTGGTGGGGATAAGGGTGGACTATGAAGAAAATACTCATTTTAAATTGCTTTTATTTATTAATTTTTATTGATATCTTCTGTTGCCCACCAGTCATTTCTGAGCATACTCCTTCTCCCCGCCTTTGCTTTCCCTTATAACGAAGGAAAAGGAAATCCTGATGCAACTGACAAGGCGTGCAACATTCCATACCAGTAGCCCCCCACCTTTGCAGAAAAAGGACCAATGCACATAATTTTAATTCTGCTCCCTAGTTGCACATGGGTATTTAGGTTGAACATGTGCCCATGTAGGTACTGTGCCTCTAGTGAAGAGCTGTAAACAACAGGGAGAGTAACTTCAAAGGCAAGAGAGAGCCACAGTTTTCAAAGCTTATGGAAGGGGGATAAATTCCTAGTGCAGGGCTGAAGGGAGAAGGAATGAAGAGAATCACTCCTGATATTTACCAGCTGTGGGAGACTGGAGTTACTTCTTAACTTCCTGAGTGCCTCCCTTACAGGGTTGCTCAGTCAGTCAACAAACATTTTTTTTTTGCCACGAGGCAATTGGGGTTAAGTGACCTGCCCAGGGTCACACAGCTAGTGAATAACAAACATTTCTTAAGCACTATCCAAATTGTCTCCCTCCCTCCCCTCTGCTCCCTGCTCCTTGAAAAGGCAAGCAATTTGATGCAGGCTATACATGAGCAGTCCTATGTGCCAAGCACTGTGTTAAGGGCTGGGAGTACAAAGAAAGGTAAAAGATAGTTCCTGCCCTCAGAGTTTACAGTCTAATGTGGGGGGGAGGGGTAGAGAACTCAACAGGCTTTGAAGAAATAATCATGCACTAGAATGTAAACTCCTGCCAGAGACAGTTTTGTCTCCGTATCCTGCAGAGCCTAGCTGGCTGAACTGAATTTAGTGACCCTGAATTTCCCTTAGAGCTCTCATTTGTCGGTGAGGACTAATTAGCTCAAACCTACTCTGTTATTTGTGGTCTTGTGAGCCTGTGGCTAGGCTGGAAGTAGCTGAGAAATCCACACCCTCCTTTGATCAAGCCTTTTCTACATCAAACTTGTTGGAGTTGACAACAGAGCTGTTTGTAAAGGTCCTGTTTGCTGGCCGTGGTGTCGTGGAGGAGTGACTACCAGATGGGCAGGAGGAGACATCCTCCAGACCCTCTTCGAATGCACTTCATCGAATATTTGTTGTCAAAGTCAGATCATAGGTTTTGAGCTGGAAAGGACCTTCACGGTCATCCAGACCAACCCTCCCATTTTACAGGTGAGGAAACTGAGTCCCAGGAATGGTGAAGCAGCTTATCCAAAGACCATACAGGTACTGAGATCCAGGCAGAATAAGGATTCAAACCCAGGCCCTCTCATTCTACCACTCTGGTCTCTCTCCATTTAGTTTCTAGGTTCTACAGAGCATGTCTAGTCCTGCTGGGTAAAGTTAGAACCCTGACTCTAGTCTTGTTTCCTTTGGGGCTATGTGAGGGTAGGACTAGTCTTTGAAATCAGTGGCTGAGCTTGGAAGCCGTCATACTTGGGCACTGTAATCAGTGTTTAGGATTGTAATGGGCTTGCTCTACTTCATGGGTGTGGTGTGATGGGAAGAGCCCCAAAATGGGAGGGGGGGAATCCTGGTCTCTAGGTCCGGGTTTCCTGCTAACTTTCTGTTTGATCCTAGGAAAGTCACTTACCCTTTCTAGGTCTGTTCACTCCACTGTGAAATGAAGGTATTGGATTAAGTGATCTCTAAGATCCCTTCCATCTTAAAAAAAAAAAAGTTCCGTGAACAATTCCTACTTAGACTAGATAGGATTACAGTGTGGCATCTGTAGCTACATGCATGTCTGCCACTCCTCTTACTGTTGTCTGTTGGCTTACTGCATAGGGTTCTGGCTTTCTTTCCCATGGCTGGTGAGACAAATGCTCTGTGTCTTCTCCAGGCAATGCTAAAGCTGAAACTGGAGGAATAAGACCAGGTTACAGCCAGATACGTAGGGGATCAGACATGCCCTAACCTTGGGACTGGGCTTCTGAAGTCCCCTTTTCCTTAATATGCATGTTAGACTCTTCAGAAAGCCTTGTTTTCAAATACTTTCCCCCATATTGGGAGGACTTATCCTTCCGTCCCTTTGTTTTGTAATGTGGCCTGACCTAGATTTTATGTGCATGGGGAAATTTAAAATGAAATTGCTTCGTTTTTTTAAAATATTTTATTTTTTCCAATATTATGTAAAATCAATTTTTAACTTTTTTTTTTAGTTCCAAATTCTCTCTTTCCCTCCCTTCTCTCCTCCCTCATTGAGAAGGCAAGCAAATTGATATAGACAGGATTGGTTCTTAGATATCACCACCTCAGTCAGTAAATATGCCTTCAATGCCTATGGGATTCATACAGAACAGTGTCCACAGCAGAGATAGAGAGACAGCTAGATAACCAGATAGAGCCCTGTGCTTAGAGTCAAGAAGACCAGAGTTCAGACTCTGATACTTCCTAGCTGTGTGACTCTGGAAAAGTCCCTTAACCACTACCTGCCTCAGTTTCCTCTACTATAAAATGGGGATAATAATAACACCTACCTTCCACGGTTACTATGAGGATCAAATGAGATAATATTTGTATGCCTCCCCTGATAGAATGGAAGCTGCTTGAGCTCAAGGATTATTTTGATTTTGTCTTTGTATCTGGGTGGCAGTCACATAAAAAGATGTCTAATAAATGCTTGTTAAACTGAGCTGAGTGATAGCTCTCGGAAGCCTGGGGGCAGGGGAGTCGGTTCTGGGGCCCCATCAGTCTCTGATATTCCTTCCTTCTTTTGCTTAGTACGGCATAGTGTTTGATGCCGGATCATCAAGGACCACTGTCTACGTGTACCAGTGGCCAGCAGAGAAGGAAAACAACACAGGTGTGGTTAATCAGACCTATAGGTGCAGTGTGAAAGGTAAGACCCTCCAGTTGGGGGTCCAATAACAAGGGAGAGGGAGAGAGGGCTGAGTGCATTGCCTGTGGGGAGGGTCTTTCCTTCAGTGGTAAACAAGAGGAGAGAGAGAGAGAGAGAGAGAGAGAGAGAAAAAGAGAGAGACAGAGAGACAGAGAGAGACAGAGAGAGAGAGAGAGACAGAGACAGAGAGACAGAGAGAGAGAGAGAAAGAGAGAGAGACAGAGAGAGACAGAGAGAGAGAGGAAGGGAGAGGGAGAGGGAGAGAGGCAGGGCAGTGGCCTGAAGAGGGCTCTGCTGACAACTGAGTGACCTTGAGTAAGTCACTTAACCTGTGTCTGTATGAAGGGGGAGGCTGAGAAAGGTTATTTGCCCAGGGTCACATAGCTAGTGAAGGTATGAGGTGGGGATTTGGGCCCAATTCTTCCTGCTTCCAAGTCCAGTGTGCAAACCACTACACCGCACTGCTTTTCAGGTCCCTCCCAGCTCTGCTAGTCCATCCTCCAAGGTCCCTTTTAAGTCTGCAGTGCAATGATTCTATCATTCTAGAGGTTCTCTGTCCCCACTCCTCTCTAAGGGTAAGGTACCTGGCTCCAGCCAACGGGAATAAGATAATGGCTTCTCTTTGTGGTATAGACACACGAAGTTAAAGCTCTTTGAACTTCTTGGAGAGGGACAGTGTGAAAATACAGGGGACAAGAGGGTGAGGTTCCCCCTCAGCAATTTTCAGGACCACCACGGAAGAGAGATCTCTGCAATTACTTGTGCTTTTAGGAGCCTTTGAAAATGAGATGTGTACTTTCTGAGTGGGAAAATGATATGTGTGTGGGTAGCGTGTGGTTAAGCAGCCCTCTGAATAAGCTCCCATGTGGAAGGGAACGTTCCTACATTAGACTTTCCTTTTAGGAGACCCAGATTTCATCCTTGTTGGCTTACCTTTGGGTGTCTGAAATTAGTCCAAGGCAATTAGACACTTCAGGGAGCTTCTCTGAATGTCGAGCAGGCAGGTATCCATCCATCTGCACAAGCAAGTGACTCAGGCGAGAATAGTAAAGAGGGACCTATATTTAAGGTGCTAAGGCTTGCAAAATTCTTTACATACATTTTGCCATTGGACTCTCACAATAATCCCATCAGATAAACACTACAAGAACTATTGTACCCATTTTACAGATGAGAAAGCTGAAGCTGAAATGGTTTAAGTGACTTGCCCAGAGCCAAATTGCTAATAACTAAGACAGGATTTGAATTCAAGTACTTTCTACAGCTACACAACATAACAACAAAAATTTCTGGCAGGAACAAAAGGTCTAGAATCCTAAGGGAAATAATAGGAGGAAGGTATTAACGAAAGGGGACTAAAATCTCAAATTATACTATAAGGCAGTCATCATCAAAACTATTTGGAACTGATTAAAAAGTAGAAAAGTAGATCAGAGGAATAGACTATATAAAGATAGGCTAAAAAACAAGTGAACTCAATAATCCAGTGTCCAATAAACCCAAGGACATAAAGTGCTTAAGGAAGGAGTCCCTAATTGACAAGATCTGCTTGGAAAACTGAAAAGGCAATTTGGCAGAAATGAGGTTTAGACCAGCACCGTACACCACATGCCAAGCTCAGGTCCTTGTCACTCCAAGTTCAATGCTCTACCCTCTAGATGACAGTGCCTCCACACGTTAGTGAGTCTTTGGGACCTGTTTGTTTTCTTTTCTGGAGTGGTAGCAGCCATATTCTAACACTGATTTCATCCTTGGTCCCAGATGTCCCCCTAATTTTGGGCCACCTCTCAACCTCCCACCCCAACCTCAGAACCAAGACAACATGATGGTCCTCTGGACAAGGGAGTCCACCTTCCCCACTCTCCTTGTTTATGGGTTGCCACACCTAGAAGCTCCCACACAGCCCAGATATCCACAGAGCCACCCATAACCATACCATTAATGAGCTTCTGTCCTAGAAGTTAGTGAGAAATCAATCTACCAAGGAGTGGACTATTCCCATCCCAATGCCATTATGTAAGATTCTCTATTCCTATCATTAGCAAAAAGGGAAGAGTTGGGAAGACAAAAAGTAGAACTTCACACAATCGTAGAATTTTAAAGGCCATTTAATCAATCAACAAACATTTATTTAAGCCCCCACTCCATACCAAACACACTGTGCTAGGTGATGGGAATACAAGTGCAATGAATGAAATGATTCCTACTCACAAGGAACTTCCATTCTAACGGAAGAGACTGATTGACTGTCTGTCTATCCATCTATCTATCTGTCTAATCTATCTATATCTACATCTACATTTACATATATATTTGTGTGTATACATACATATACATATAACCCATATAAAATATATATACACACAAATGTGCACATGCATATCTGTATATACATACATATACAATGTATATATGTATATTAATATATCACATATATTCTATATCTATTATATTAATTGTGTATATATACATATAAAAAACAAAAGTAAAATGAATAAATACAAATAAACATCAGATGGGAGGGAAGGCTGTAGTAACTGAGGGGATTAAGAAAGGCTTCATACAACCAGTGGTGCCTGAGCCATGTCTTGAAAGAAGAGGACTCTGAGAGGCAGAGGTAAGAAGGAAATGTGTTCGAGGTATGGGGAACGGGAAGTACAAAGGACAGGAGACTGGAGTGTCGTGTACGAGGAACAGAGAACAGGCAAGTCTGGTGGATTGTTGAGGGTGGGACAGTGAGTGGTGTCCACTGAGGCTAGAAAGTTGACCTCAGTTCAAGCCCTACCTCTGATTCTGGTGGTAAGACCCTTCTCTGCCAGATTCTGTAAAATGCGGATAATAATACCAGTAGTATCTAACTTACAGGGTCGTCGTGTAAAATGCAGTTTGCAAACCTTAAAGCATTATCAGTGATTCTTACTTGAAAACCAGTCCTTCATTAATTTCAGCCCAGGCTTTGCTCCCATGTTATTCCCTCTCTTGGGCTCTTGCTCTCACTCTGATGGGGCAGTTCAGTCCCTCATGGGCCCTACCCACAAGAGCCTTTCTCATAGGATACCACACTGTATCCCTTATTTTTCTCTCTGAATCCTATTCTTAAAACTTTTTAAAAAATAAATAATGAGACAATCTGTTGTTGCTGACTGATAAAGCTGAAAGCTGAATGAATTTCTTAATCATGAGATGCCAAACACTGTTCTATGCTTCTCTTTCTAGGCTCTGGGATCTCCAGTTATAGAAATAACCCCCAAGCTGTTCCCAGAGCTTTTGAGGACTGCATGCAAAGAGTTAAGGAGAAGATTCCAGCTGATCTCCACAAAAGCACACCGGCTCATTTGGGAGCCACAGCAGGAATGCGGCTGCTAAGGTAGGGTCTTGGAAATACTACCCGATTTACGGAAATATGCAAGCATTCAGTGGCGGAATTCACCAAGGTCATAGAACAGTCTCTAGAGACCAGTCGGAAGAAGGGAAGCCCATTATTTGAAAGAAAACTAGATTTTTAAAGAACTGGGGACTTTGGAGTGTCTTTCTTCTTGGCCCAGATGGCAGAATGAGGACCAGTGAGTGGGTGGAAGGTACAAAGGAGCAGATTTCAGTGTGATATAAGGAAGAGTTTTCTGACAAGGAGAGCCATCCCAAAGGGGGATGTCCCACCTCAAGAGGTAGTGGGCTTCTCCATTACCAGAAGCTGGATGGCCTCTTATCAATGATAATATAGAAGGAATTCCTGCTCAGTTCTTCTAATTTTGAGATTCTGTGAACTAGAGGTTCCCAAATGATTCCCTTTCTTTGACAATTTAATGGAAGGCAAACAGTCATTGCAATGAAAAAAAGAAAAAGAAAAAGACAACAACAACGAGTCTTGCTCATGGCATCTCCTTGTGGTTCCATAGAAAAATGTAGGCTTTGGAGTACACGGTCTTCAATTTAGCTTTCTCTGTAATTAGTTGTTCTTTGAACAATAAGGCTTCACTCATTTCAGTTACATATTTCTATAACTACATTTTATCTATCAAGCATAATGAAAAGCTGTCAAGTTATAGGATCTATTTCCGTGCAAAATCTTTTATTGGCTGCCATTTTCTCAAGATGGTAGACTGAATCTCAAGTTCAACTGAAAGTAGTATATTGATACTTCTCTGTTTATACCACATTCCATCCAAATCAGGAGAGGCAGCATGGTGGAGTGGGTAGAGAAATGGCCTCAGAATGAAGAAGTCACAGGCTGATAGACTGAGGGCAAGGAAGGACCCAAGACGCTATTCAGTGAAACTCCTCTGCCCCAGAGTGGCCGTGTGACTATGGGCAAGTCACCTCATTTCTTAGTGAAGTGCAATCTCAAATGAGATAATATTTGTAAAGCTTTTAGCACAGTGCCTGGCACATAGTAGGTGTTATTTAACTGTTGACTACTATTGTTATTATTAATTCAGTGTTCTAGGCAATTCTCTAAGAAGACCTGGTGTTAGTCTGTATTGGTAAAAGTAGTTTCCCTCTTGGTAGTACTCTACCCAAATGAAATCATAGGTCCAATCCAAAGCAAACAAAAAAACCAAATAAATCTACCAGCTCCTTTGGAGGTTATCATGGACCAGATGGACAGATTTCAAACACTGGGTGGTTCAATTAAAGCAGAGACATTTCTTTAGGGTCAATTATATTTGGACACATGACTTGTGGCCCAATCCCACTGTCTTTGACTGTCCTTTGTAGTATTTCTCTACTGTATAATTCCCTTGAAATTTAAAATCGGGAATGTGGGTGGGGACCATGTCATGTAAAGTCCTGCCAAGCTGAGGCTGCCCTTGGTTTCAGAAACAAGAACTACTTCCTTCAGTGGGATGGGAAGGTGGAAGAGGGTTGGACCTGGAATCCCAAGTCCTTGGTTCATATCCATACTCAGCCATGAGATTCTGTCCCTTGGACAAGGCATGAACTTCTCTGGGCCAACGTTTCTTCACCTGTAAAATGGGGGAATTGGACTAGTGGCCTCTGAAGTCTCCCCTGGCTCCAAGTCTGAATTCATGAGCTTCCCAGCATTAGCCTATAGGTCTGTGTTGTTAAGATAAAGAGGCTCATTCTTCTCTGATGCCCTCTCATGTTCTAGATTCCCCTGAAAATCTAGGCTCTCCAGTGAGGGTGTCATTCTCCCAGATACATCAGGCATCCCTCCCTGTAGTTCTCTGCCTTTGTTTCTCTGTAGTTGCGTTAGATGAGCAACTGGAGTAGGGAGAGAATTTGAAGTCTCAGCTTTTTGCTTGAGGAACCCCAGATGCATTCAATGTCAGACTGGATTTGCTTCAACCCAAATGATGTGGACATTTTTTCCTCCATAATTTCCCCTAGTATGATTGCTCCAAAGAGAGATTGTGGTGTAGTGGATAGCAATCTGACCTTGGAGCCGAGAAGACCTGGGTTCAAGTTCCATGTTTGACACACACTAGCTGTGTGACCCTAGCCAAGTCATTTATCTCCTCACTGTTCCAGGGAGACTGGAATTGAGAAATATCTTCAACAAACAGATTAAATAAAATGTAGCACAACATAGATAATGTTAGTGGTTTTCCAAGTCAATATGAAGCCCTCATTTTTACTTCCCTAGACCTACTGGTCTAGGGAAATCTCTAAGCCTCTGAGTTCCAGAGAAGATGCTGACGTGCCCTGGGTAATAACACCTTTCCCTGTCCCAGAGCTCCCTCGATTAATGACCTCACCTGTCCACTCCCTAGCCCTACCCTACCATTGCTCCAAAACATCCCCTTGGCTTCCCCCCTTTCCTCTTCAGTGAGAAACTGTTGATGTTACTCACAGAAACAAACACATAAGAGGGTTTGCTATTTGGAAAAAGGCTCACTTGAAAAAATTAAATATGAATTATTTCATAACAAGTGTTTTTTCCTATGAGGCATCAGAATTTAATTTATTTTCTAAGAGGAAGAGTAAGTAATTATAAAAACCTTTAATGAGGGAGTCCCAGCAAAAGCAAAGGCAGAAAATAAGCTGAAACTGGATGTTTGGTTATGATGGGAACTGGGAAGATAGTGATTTGTGTGTTTTTACAATTGGTGGTAGCAGGGCATTCTCAAAGGAATGCCAGCATCCCCTCTAGGAGAACAGCCCTTCCTCCTCCTCCTCCTCACCCATTCAGTCAGCAAGCATTTACCCAGGGTAGGCAGCAGGACCAAATCAAAGGGGACTGTTAGGAAGGGAGGTGACTGAGTGGACAGGCATTTTAGAAAATCGCTGTAGTAGCTGAGTGGAGGATTGACTGGAGGGGGGACAGACTGGAAGCATCAGCAGCTGGTACAATGCTCAGGCCTGCAGGGGTGCGGTTGGGTGGTGATGGGGCATTGTGAGTGCTGGGGAGAGAAGGAGGCACTTTCCAGAGACGTTAGGAAGGCAGAAACAATAGGATTTGACAAGGGCAGTACAATGGCATAGCCTTTGGCTGGTGGAAAGGGGAATGAGTGCCCTTGAGTCAGAGGACCTGGATTCAAGTACTGACAAGGCACCTAAACTCTGTGGACCTCAGTTTTCTCTTCTGTAAAATGAGGTGTTGGACTACATGACCTCTGCTCTCCCTTCTTGCTCTAAATCTGGATCAACCTGTGACTATACCTCTCCAGGCCTCAGTTTCCTAATCTGTAAAATGAGGAGCTCGGACTAGGTCCTGTCCAGATCTGTCCGTGACCCCCGATGCTAAAAGGACTTCTTTATTAACAAGGAGGATGCTGCCCCACCCCAGAGGATGCGACAGGAAAAACAGATAAAAGAGCCCCCTTTTCATTTGCCTGCCCCCACATACGCAGGTAGAAGGGCTTTAACCCTGAATGGAATGGCTCTGAAGCCGTGGCTGCACCCCAGAGTCCCTGCCTCCCCAGTTCTTTTACAGGCTGCAAGGCTTTCTTGGGATAGAGTCCTGGACTGGAGTCAGGAAGACCTGAGTTCAAATTTTGCTTCAGACTCTCTACGTTAGTTTCCTCTTCTGTAAAATGGGGATAATCATAGCATCTGACTCATGAGGTTCCTGTGCGAATCAAGTGAGATTACATATATACACATACATACACACATTTTATACACACATACACACATACATTGTATACACATATATCCATCTATATCTACATATTCACATGCATATCTGTATTTATAATATACATATCTATGATATAAGCACACATATATCTCTATATACACATATATCTTTACACACAAATATCTACCTATGTCTATATGTGCGCATACATACATAAATACACATATCTCTATATATGCACATTTATGTGTATACACATGCCTATATATACATGCAGACACACATCCACATATCCATATGCACATACCTATCTATATACAATCATATGAACCTTAAAGCGCTATGTAAATTTTAGCTGTTATTATTATTATTTCCCTTCCTAAACCTTCCCACCTGACCAGCTTATTTGCTGGGCGGTGGGAGGGTGCTGGTGGACGCGATAATAAAAGGGAGTATTTTTACCTGTCTCCGGCACATCTTGCTGTGTGACCCTGGGCACGTTGCTCAGTGCCCTACGAAGCTCCTCTAAGTTACAGATCTGCATTGGTAGAGGGAGTTTCCACCCTGAGAAGCCTCCAAACAGATGAAGTGCCAGGTCTAGAACAAGGACCCCCCACCCCTTTTCTCCGACTTCAAAGTGGCCGCCTGGTGCTTTGGGGGCTACCCGGGGCGGCTTCAGCTGGCGCGGGGTACTTCTGTGCTATGCCACAGCTGCTCCTGCAGGAGTCTTTCCCTAGAGGCAGAGGCGATGAGGGGCAGCAGTCCCGCTCCCTGGGTGAAGCCGAGAGGACGATCTGTCTTTCCCCTTGCTCAGCTCTTTGTGTTCTGTGCATTGCATAGGTTGCAAAACGAATCCGCGGCTCGAGAAGTCCTTGCAAGCATTCAGACCTACTTCGAGTCTCAGCCCTTTGATTTTAGGGGTGCTGAAATCATTTCTGGGCAAGAGGAAGGGGTGTATGGATGGATTACAGCCAACTATTTAATGGGCAACGTCTTGGAGGTGTGTGCAAACAACCGCAGGGTTTCTTCAGCTCGCTACTTAGTGTCCACTGGGGTGGCGAGCTTGAGCCCGCACCCGTGCATGCTGACCCGCCGTAGTCACTGGGTAGAATTCCCTACGCGTGTGGAGCCAGGAAAATGCCCTTCAAGTGACTGCTCAGGAAAGACACCCCTGAAGGGCAGACTTCATTTCTCTCTTGTATCCCCCATGCCTAGCATAGTTCTTTGCATGCAATGGGTGTTTCATAAATGCTTGCTGGATTACATTGAAAAGACAATCACATGTGCTTACAGCTGGGAAGATAATTTGGTGCTGACATAAAACTGAACTGGGGCTGGGAGTGGGATGGAGAGACACTTCTTTGCCGGTTTATAGAAAAGGAGCCCAGCTTCAGGTGCTGGAGATGTGTAAAAGCAACTCTCAGCTCCCCTACCCTTTTCCTAAAGAGGATCAATGAAACCGTATGCTTGGTTTTGTCCCGACTCCTTATTGGACATGTACAATGTGAACTTACTGGGGGCCTTCATTGAGGCTCCATATGGAGACGGCATTGTGTAGTGGAAAGATCTCTCTCACGCTTAGTATGTGCCCTTGGGCAAGATACTGCACCTCCCTGGGCCTCAGTTTCCTTCCCTGTAAATTGGGGGGGGTATTGCGCTAGATGACCTCTGAGGCCTCTGCCACCTCTAATCTATAGTTCTGTCACTAGGGTGACCCCTGAGGTCCCTTTGAACCCTAAATCTGTGATCTTAGTACCACTGCAGTTGATTAGAACCTTCTAAAACTGGGCTTCCCCACTACCTTATTCCCCTAAGTATCTATAATGGCTACGTGCCTGCTCTGCGCCAAGAAAAATCCTCTCCCGAAGACACGTTTCCTGATGTAGAGCCTGGCACCCGGCCGCTTCCCCAGGGCACGGAGTGATGTGTATAGGAGCTCACTCAGAGGGCCCCAGACAAACTAGCATTAGATGTTTCCTTTCCTTTTCTTATGATGTAGAAGAACGTGTGGAATACGTGGAGCCACCCTCATGGGGTGGAGACTACAGGGGCGTTGGACCTTGGCGGGGCCTCTACCCAGATATCATTCGCCCCCGAAGAGGAGGCTGGGCACGGTGCCAACAGCACGGTGCAGGTGTCCCTCTATGGCTATACCTACACTCTCTACACCCACAGCTTCCAATGCTATGGCCGAGATGAAGCTGAGAAGCGGTTTCTTGCAAGGCTCTTCCAGGTAAATGCAGCTGTGGTTGGGGCCTTGGGGGTGGCATGACAGTATCTAGTCTTTCCTCATGTATTTGTGATTGGTCACAAATGAAGCCTTGATATATAAAACCATAGACACAAACCCTCCTATCTGCGCTGCATCTCTTGGGTTTAAATAATGACCAAGTGAGAGGGGGCTGTGGCAAAATGAACAAACTTGAATCAGTGAGGTCTGGGTTCTAATCTTGACTCAGACACCTGTTAGCTGTGTAACCCTGGAAGAGTCAGACAGCCTGACCAACGTTGGCTAAGAAACGAATTGACCTCCAGGGAGAGGGTTTCTACCTGGGACCGTAGGGCTTGATAAATATCATTTGAATGACCACTAGTGTGTGTGTATGGAATCACTGAATCTCACAGTTGGACAGGACCATAGCACCAGAACCTGTACAGAACTCCCTTCTATACCATCCCCCCAAGGGGTCGTCCATCCAGCCTTTGCCTGAGAGCCTTCAGTAAGGGGGGGGAGCCCCATTGCTTTCTCCGGTTTGGGACAGATCTAACAGTGAAGGAATTTTGTTGCTGTTGCTGTTCAATTGTGCCCAGCTCTTCATCACCCCGTGGACCAGAGCATGCCACATGAAGCTGAAATCTGTGTATCCTCCATTTAGAGCCATTACTGCTGGTTCTAACCTGGAGTAATCCAATCTCCCTTCCACTTGACAGCCCTTCACCTCTAAGGCTTCTCTTCCCCAGACTCAACAGCCCCAGTTCTTTCGTCCAGCTCTTGTGTGGCTTTTCACGGGGGCTCTTCACCCTCCTGGTTGCCCTCTTCTGGCTGGTCTGCTGCCTGTCACTCTCCTCCCTAAAATGTGGAGCCCAGAACTAAGCGCAATATTGCAGATGTGGCTTGGCCAAGGCAGAGTGCCGTGGGCCCCTTGCCCCTCTAGTCCTCGATATGCTGCTGCTCAGCGCAGCCCGATGTCACATGAGCGTTTTTGTGCCGGCTTGGTGCTCTCTGGATGCGTATTGATCTTGACGGCTATTAACATGCCCGGACTTTTTTTCAGATAAAAAGTTAGCCACGTCTTACCCGTTCTTATACTTGTGAAGCTGATTATCTGAATTAACTATAGACAGACAGACAGACAGACAGACAGACAGACAGACAGACAGACAGACAGACAGATAGATAGATAGATAGATAGATAGATAGATAGATAGATAGATAGATAGATATACAGATAGATAATAGAGCATTTATTAAGTATGTATTATATGCCAGGCAGTCTGCTAAGTGCTACAGATTCCAAGACAAGCAAACAAGACAGTCTGTTTGCTCAAGGAGCTTACAATCTAATAGGGGGAAAACACTCATAAAGCATAGCATGAGTCAAGTTGGGAGTGACATAAACGTGACTGGAGCCCCTCTAGAAATGATGGTGCCAATAAGAGGGTCACCAATCAGGAGAGTGGTGCCTCGGGGCAAAGGTTTCTCCAGAATGGGAAGGTGGCTGGGGAGGGAGGAAGAGAGGGGGAGAGAGAAAGAGAGGGAGAAACAAAGAGAAACAGAAAGAAAGAAAGAGAAAGACAGAGAGAAACAGAAAGAGAAATAAAGAGAAACAGAAAGAAAAAGAGGAACAGAGAGGAGAGATAGAGAGAGAGATAGGAGAAAGAGAAACAAAGAGAAACAGAAAGAAAAACAGAGAGAGAGAAGAGAGAAACAGAAAGAAAACGAAACAGAGAGAGAGAAAGAGAGAGAGAGATAGGAGAGAGAGAGAGAGAGAGAGAGAGAGAGAGAGAGAGAGAGAGAGAGAGAGAGAGAGAGAGAGAGAGACTGTTAGTTGAGCTAGGAGGGAAGTCAAGACGGTGCAGGATTTTATATTGATTCCTACTAAATCATTGAGTTCAGTATTCTCGTGCACTGAGATCTTTTTGGACCCCAACTGTCATCTCGTGTTAACTATCCCTCACAACTTTATATCGTCTCTGACTTGATAAGCCTCTCATCTATACTTTGAGTGAATTTATCTAAAAAATGTGAAAGCATATAGGGTCAAATACAGACCCCTATGGCACTCCATTAGAGGCTTCCTTCCAAGTTGATATTGAGTCATCAATGACTACTCTTTTTGTCCAGTTAATCAATCAGATCTTCAACCAATTGTCTCTAGCCCCTAGCTCTCTATCTTATCTGAAAGGATTGCATGAGAGCTTTTGTCAAATGCTTAGCTAACATCCAGGTATATTGCACCACATTCCCTGTCCAATTAGTCTAGCCACCTTGTCAAAAAAGAAATGGGGTTAGTCTGGCATGACCTATTCTTAGGGAAGCCAGGCTGACTTTTTGTGATCACTTCCATTTCTTGATTCCTGTAACACATCCCTTTAATGATCTGTTCTACAGTTCTGCTAGGAATCAAAGTCAAACTCACAGGCTTATCATTTATAGATTCCACTCTCTTTCTCTCTTTGAAAATCAGGATCTTGGCCTCTTTCCATTCCTGTGGGTGCCTCTCCCATTCCCCATGATCTTTAGAAGCTCACTGAGACTCACCCATCCTCTATGTCAGGTCAGTCAGTGAGGTGTGGTTCTCAGGCACTTCAACTCACCTAGGACAGTGATGTATTCTCATTATCTTCTCACTTATGCTGTCGTATTAGCTGTTTTCAGTCTGCCCTTTCTGGTCCAGAGACCAATCTTCTTCACAAAGAAAACGGGAACAAGGTTGAGGCTTCCACCTTTCCTTTCTGTCATTTCTTATCTTTGGCCCATCCAACTTGGGCAGAACCTCTGCTTTCTTTGATCTTCCTGTTTTCAGCAGGAAAGCTTTAAAACTGCTGTTCTTAGCTTTCCTTGCCAGCCTCAGCTTATTCTGAGTTTTAGTATTTCTGATACTTAGTGCAGTTTGAAGCTTTAATACCTTTTAAAATACTCTGTATATTCCTCCCTTCTCCCTGCCCCCGGCAAGCCATTCCTTGGAACAATGAGAAAGAAAGAAAGAAAGAAAGAAAGAAAGAAAGAAAGAAAGAAAGAAAGAAAGAAAGAAAGAAAGAAAGAAAGAAAGAAAGAAAGAGAAGAGCATTTGAGCAGCACCAACCAACGTATCCACCATGTCTAATAGTGTATGCTATATTCCAAACCCATAGTCCCCCACTTCTGCAATGAAAGGAAGAAGGTTCATTTTCTCAATTCTTCTCTGGGGACAAAACTTGGTCATTGTAATTAAACTGTGGAAAATACTAATTAGCCCATCCTTCTACTTCTCAACTAGACCACATGAAAACTTTCTTAGTGGAACACCACTATACCTTAAGAATTACTTAGGATGAAGACTGGTCCCTAATAGACTACATGTACAATCACATCATTTAATTTATATTTATTTTTTGGTTCAGACCTGTGATTTTATTAGTGCAGGGATAGAAAGCCCTTTGGGGGCAGCTAGGTGGTACAGTGGATAGAGCATGGAGTCAAGAAGACCTGAGTTCAAATCTGGACTCACACATTTACTAACTATGTGACCCTGGGCAAGTTACTTAATCCTGTTTGCCTCAGTTTCCCCATCTGGAGGATGAGCTGGAGAAGGAAATGGCAAACCACTCCAGCATCCTTGCCAAGAAAACCCCAAATGCAGTCCCAAAGAGTCAGACACAACAAAAGGCCATTCACTTGGGCAGATTAGCAACTCCTAACTTTTAGTCTTTCCAGAGTGGCCTGAGAACTAAGAGGTTAAGTGATGTGACAGGTCATATAACCAGTATGTAGCAGAGTCAGGATATAAATTCAGGTCTTGCTGACTCTAAAACCAGCCTTCTATTTACTATGCTATGGTTTCCTCTAAATTTATTAAATAATAAAATCGTCTTGGTGAATACTTGAGTTTCAAGGTAGCTGAGGCACACAGTGGATAGAACTCTGGACTTGGAGTCAGTGTTTAAATCTTGACTCAAGATAATTACTAGTTGTGTGACTCTGGGCAAATCACTTACCCTCTCAGCCTCAGTTTTTTCATGTGTAAAATGGAGAAAATATAGCCTTTATCTCACTGGTGAGGATCAAATGAGATCATATTTGTAAATTGCTTTGCAAACATTAAAGCGCTATGTACGTGCTAGTTATTGTTGTTACTATTATTATTATTATTATTATTATATTTTACAGCAACTTGAGAGTAATGTAGGTAGGCGGGAGAATTTTATACCGTTTCTGGAGTATAATTTTTAATCAGAGAATTATGACTCTTATGCCTTACTATTTCAATCTATAGAATTCCACAGACAAAGGCAAGCTGGTCAACCCCTGCTATCCTCGGGATTATGTGACCAATTTAACGATGGAACACATATTTGGAAGTCTGTGTACAGAAGGGTTAAGGCCAGCCAACTACAACCCAGGATACAAAATTTCCCTGGAAGGGACTGGGGACCCCACTTTGTGCAGAAAAAAGGTGTATTCCCTGTTCGACTTTCAAGTTTGTAGTGACCGGGAAGACTGTTCGTTTGATGGGATCTATCAGCCAAAGGTTAAAGGGACATTTGTGGTAAGATTGAAACCCACAGAAGACTTAATGTTTTAAAAAAAATATGTATTTGTCGATCAACCCTTCATCCTGCCCCTACCGATGCCCCATCTACTTCCTCCCCCTCTTTTTCTGTCCAGTAACATTGCTTTTGTGTGGCTGGATTTGTAGGCTTTTTCCGGATTCTACTATACCGCCAACGCTTTGAACCTCACGGGGAGCTTTTCTTTGGACGCCTTTAACACGAGCGTGTGGGATTTCTGTTTGCACAGCTGGAGTCAGGTCAGTGGGGCTTCTTCTGAGGTATTTAAGGACTTGCAAGAATCTTGTTTGTACATCATTGTTTGCCTGTTGTCTTCTCCCATAGACTGTGAGCTCCTTGAGAGCTGGGCTTGGTTTTCAGTTTTAGTCTTTTGATCTTTCTTTCTATCCCCAATGCTTGGCACAGTGCCTGCAGATAGCGGATTCTTAATCAATACGTGTTGACAGACACAGCTTCGGTTTGAAAGGTAGTGATCTGCTTGCATATACACAGTGATTATTTCTTTAGTGATTGCCTAAATCACTAAATATCAAATACCAGAAAGCCCAATTAAATTTGCTTTGGGATTATTTACACTTAGATAAATGAATTCCAATATATAGACTGTTCTGAGAACTTTTCTTTTTTTTTTCTTGGTCTGTGTGTTGTTTTTTTTAAAAGGCAATTGGGGTTAAATGATTTGCCCAGAGTCACCCAGCTAGCAAGTGTTATGTGTCTGAGGCCAGATTTGAACTTAGGTCCTCCTGACTTTTAAGACCGGTGTTCTATCCACTGTACCACCTAGCTGCCTCTCTGAGCACTTTTCAATCAGGCCCTCTATGTGTCCATCAGGATTCTTCCATTCATTTTTGTGTACTTTTTCTCTTATATGGTCACAGTGAGTGTCTATTGTTCTTTTCTGTTGTTGTTATTTGATAAAGCCATATACTTTCCTGCCATCTTTGTATACCAGATGATTAATATGATATGTTATAATTTTCCATGGTGGTGGTTTAGCCCTTACTAGTTAGTATCTACTGTTCTTTCAAAGTTGCTCTTTTTTTCATTTGTTTTGTAGTATTTTGTAAATATTCTTCCATGTGTCTTTGTCTTTCTTATGCTTATCCATTTTAATTGCATTATATATTACATGAATGTAGTATAATTTATTTATTCTCCCATTATAGAACCTTTAGGTTGCTCCTAATTTTTTGCTCACAGAGCGCAGAATCTCAAAGTTGAAAGGGATGTTAGAGGCCTTCTTATCCAACCCATAACTAAGCAAGAATCCATCCTCCAACCTACCCAACCAAGTAGTCATCTATCCTATGCTTGAAGACCTCCAGTGAGGAAGTCAGAAAATCGCTGAACTTTCAGGTTTTTGCTGGTGGTGGTTTTGATAATACTTTCAAAGTGTTTCCCCAACAACAGAATTATAGGATTTGAGGATATAATTATTTTTAGAGCCCTTACTGTGTATTGCTACATTGCTTTCCAAAAAGTTCCTACATGTTGCAGTTCTACCAATAATGCATGAGTTTGTTTCTCCACAGCCTTTCCAGCTGAGTTTCTTGGCTTTTCATTATCTTTGTCAATTTTTGATGAGTACGAGGTAGAAAGTTGTTTCAGTTTGCATCCCTTTGGTTATTAGTGTGTTTGTGTATATTTTTTCAAGTGACTATTAACATTCTTATATCTTCTTTGGAAAACTGCTTGTTTTATAGCTTAAATCTCTGTTTTCTCACCTTTATCCTGGGGATAAATCTAGGTGCCTTTTACTATCTCTATTCTTAGTCACCCATGTGTTCTGGAAGCATGCATCCATAAAATGTGTGTGTGGCATGCCTCCGCCATATTTTTACGTTGTGTTTTTTTTTTTAATCTATTTTCCAGCTTCATCTGGTGCTGCCCAAGTTTGATGAGGTATATGCCCGGTCCTACTGCTTCTCCGCTCACTATATCTATCATCTGCTAATATATGGCTATAAATTTTCAAGACAGACTTGGCCTAAAATACATTTTAAAAAAGAAGTAAGTGAAAAAAAAAAGGCTACTGATTCTTCTCTCCCATTATTCCTCCCTCTCCAAGTAAATGCATTAACATGAAAGACATTTAGAAACTTGGATGTTGGTGGATTTTACTCTCATTAAATTAAGCATTTGTCTGACGGTGCTCCTGTGGACTATGGAGGAAGGTAAAGCAATCTGAGTTGAATATGTCCTTGACCCCACTTTCAAATGGACGACGGGTTGTTGCCTAAGACTACTAAGAGGGAGCTAAGGAACTAAGTTTTTGAGCAATTTAACAATGTTAGTCATGAACAGGAAGGTATTAGCTTTAGAGCGGGAAGAGACTTTGGAAGTACCACCCCCTTTCATTTTACAGATAGAAGGAAATAGAGGCCCCAAGAGAAATGACCTTGGGGTCACATGGCTACTAGCCATGGTAGCTAAGCTGGAATGTGACCCCAGGTCCTTTGATTCTCAATTCAGTGTACCTACTGTCCTCTACACATTCCCCCTCCCTTTAAAGAGAATAATGACCAGCTCTTCTGCCTTCTTTACCATAGGCTAAAATGATAGCATGAAGGACTTAGGTTATCTCTCAACAAGAGCTTCCTGACAGTTAATAGTCATGGAGTTACCAAAAAAAGGCTGAGAAGTCTCCTTTTAGAGACTTTCAACATACATATAGTTATAGATATTGATATAGATATTTGTGTCTAATGGTAGGGATCTCTCGGGTGGGGGGGTGTGGGAAGAAAAAAGAGAAAACAAGAAATTTACATGATAATTTTGTTGTATATTTGAAAGAAACATACAAGAAATGTGCATAGCAGATTTGCAGTTTCATGTACAATCATCTTTTTTTTATTGTACTGTTATAGAAATGCTTGTTTTATTCCATAATTTAAATTTTTTTAAAAAGGAAGCCTATTCAACCATTATTAAAAGTAGGTTCTTTCAGTGAGAGCCAAAAAGATTTTGGTACCTTTAATAAATAAAATAGCAAAACCATTTTTAAAAAAAGACTTTCATTAAAGAATCGTTGCTTTTGTTCTGGGATGCTCCTGCCTGATCTGGAAGAGTGGATGACATGGCCATTCATGCTAGGAGGCTCCAATCTTGGCTCAAGTTTCATCCTGTCAATATCTTCAGCTAGTACTATGTTTCCTATGAGAAGAAATTTCTGTTTTAGAAATATGAGAAGCCCAAAGATGACTTGAGGGTATGAGAAGTCTCCTTCCTGGCTTCCTTTTTTTCCATCTAATAAAATTATGTAGTTATGACTTTTATCTGGCTTCCATGGGTGATCTCATTCCGGATAATAGAAATAGATGTGGAATTGACTTAATAAGAATAATGACCTGCATAATTGGCATCTTATCCCCTGCAAACAACAGTAAGAGTTTAAGGCAACAAAAACGTTTTCATCCTCCGTAGGATCAGGCTGGTAACTATTGGAGTGCACCGCAAGAAAGACAGAATGGATTTTGCTAGGGAATTGTAGAAATAGATTTCATCTGAGGCTACTATACAGGTTGTTATTAATTTTATATTGTATCTAAAGTTGGCAAATTTCTTCCTCCTTCCATCCTTCTTTCCTTCCTTCTTCTATTTCTCCCTTTCTATCTTTCTCCTTCCTTCTCTTTATTTCTTTTTTCCCTCCCTTTCTTTCTCTTTTCATTCATTTTCTTCTCTCCCCCTTCTATCCCTCTTTACTTCCTTCTTTCTTTCATCTTTTTTCTTTCTCCTTCCCTCTTTCTTTTTCTTTCTTTGTTTTCTCTTTCTCCTTTTCATTCATTCTCCTCCCTCTTTCCTCTTTTTTCTTCCTTCCTCCTTTCTTTCTCTTCTTTCACTTTATTTACTTCTCTTTCTTTTTTCCCTTTCTCTCTCCTTCCTTTTTTCTTTTTTCTCTCTTTGTCCTTCCATCTATTTCTTTTTTCTTTCTCTCACTTTCTCTTTCTCTCTCCTTTTCATTCATTCTCTTTTCTCTCCCTCCTTCTCCTCCTCCCTTTCCCTCTGCCTTTCCCCACTTTTCTCTTTCAAAGAAAAAGGCAGAGAGAGTCATTCCTATCTCAGAAAGGCCCATAAATAGGTCTGTTTGTTGAATTATGCCAGACATTAGGGGAGTAAGAGAAGTAAGAAGTAAGGGAAAGAAGGGGGAAGGAGTAGTAAGGAAGAGAATTCAAGATTAGACACTGAAATGACAAAGATCAAAGGTTCTAGAGTTGGAAGGGACCTCAAAGGGCATCTAGTTCAACACTCCCCCTTTTTCCAGAAAAGAAAACTGAGTCTCAGAGAGGTGAAGGTCACAGCAAGTGTCAGAGCCGGATCCAGTCCTCCGATGCCAAATCTTTTTTTCTATTCCACAGCTTCTGCATTGTCCCCAGTCTTTCTTCCTCCATCTTTTCCATTCTCCAGCTCTGTAGAAATCACACTAAGTTTCCTGTAGTTTTCTCTATAAAGTATTTGCATGTTCAAACCCAGCTTGGACAGATTATGTCTCCCACCGCGGGCACTGGCTGCTCCATGGGCTGTGGTGCCCAAATGCTTGGCAGGACACGTGCACACATGTCACAGGATCCCAGAGTAGCACTGGGAAGGCAGCTCACAGATGATATATTTCAACGCCCTCATTTTACAGATGGGGATACTGAGGTGCAGAGAGGCTGTGTAATGTCTGAGACACAATGAAATAATGTGTGCACAGTGCTTTGCAAACCTGAAAGCGCTACATAAATGCTGGTTGTTAATAACCGACGTTTATGGAATTTTTTAAAGTTTAGAAATCACTTCCTCAATTCAGTTCAATGAGCATTTATTAAGCACCTACTATGTGTAGGCCACAGAGCTGAGTACTAGAGATACAAAGAAAAAAGTCAAACAGTCGTCATCCTAATGGAGATTGCATCGTGTCAGGGGAAAACCACAACTACTCAGAGAAGAATGTATAAAGTCTTTATGTGGAACAATAGTTAGAGAGCACTGGGCCTGGAGTCAGGAAGTCCTGAGTTCAAATCTGGCCTCAGACACTTAGTAGCACTGTGACCTTGGGCAAGTCATTTAACCTCTCTCTGCCTCATTTTACAGATGAGGGGACAGAGGCAGAGAGAGGTTAAATGGCTTGCCCAAGGTCACACAGCTACTAAGTGTCTGAGGCCAGATTTGATTTGGATTCAGCCTCTAAAGTCCCCTCCAGCTCTGAATCTATGAAAGAAAATAGTGGGGTTGGGGAGAAGGCTTGGTGGTAGAGCTCTATCCAGGGAGGTAGGTATAGCAGATGCTATTATTATTATTATTATTATTATTATTAATTCCCCATTTAAAAATGAGAATAAGGAGGCCTAGAAAGGTTAAGTGACTTACTAGGAAGAGAATAAGTATTTATTAAGTGCCTACTCTCTGCCAGGCACTGTGCTAAGTGCTTTATAAATATGATCAGATTTGAGATATTTGAGATTTTGGAGGTAGGATTTGAACTCAAATCTCTCCCAACTATCTCTGTGCCTCTACATGGCACAGTCATGTCCCAGTCTTATTATTCGCACTTCTGGCCTCTCCATCTCTCCACCCCTACATCTGAACCCTCCCCTTTGCCCCCCTACAGGTGGAGAAGAGCAGCATCGCCTGGTCTCTGGGCTACATGCTGAACCTCACCAACATGATTCCGGCCGAGAGCCCCCTGATCCAGCTGCCCATGCAGCCCCAGGTGTTCGCAGGGATGATGTTTTTTTTTGCCGGAGTGGCCCTGCTCTGCCTGGTTTTCCTCATCTACCTGTGCGTGATGTCCAGGCTGTAGAGGAGCTCCCAGCGTGTCGTTGATCCTGGCTTCGATGCTGAGTGAGCCGGGGAGGAAAGCATTCAAGAGCAGGCAAGGCAAAGCTCAGCATGGACAAATGAAGCAGGTAGCAGGACCCAAGAAGGGTTCCCTCCCAGAGGGCCCTGAGCTGCGACCTTCTCTACCCACCTGGAGTGACGGTCGCCACCCACTCTCCCAACGACCCACTAATTCATCCGAGGGAAGCTTAGAGAAGAGAAGGAGTAAACAGTGTTGGATGGGAGTCTGAAACCCCGGATGGCAATGAAGCTTGGTACCACCACTTAGAATGTGTATGACCTTGGGAAAGTCCTCCTCCTCTCTCTGGTCTCAGTTACCTCACCTTGAAAGTAAGAGGATTAGACTAGATGACCTTGAAGGTCCCTTCGAGCTCCAAACAGACAATCCTGTGATTCTGTGAACATTCAAGGTCAGACCTCGCGGAAGTCCCCTAGGATGAAGGGCCGGCTTCTAGCTTTAAAATAAACACGAGCGTAGAAGAGATACCCCAGGGATCATCTACCATCTTGCCTCCCCAAGAAACATACTCTATGACTAATGAATTTCAAAGGAAGCAGCATCCTTGCTGGCAGGACTGAAATATGGAAGCCTATACCAGGAGTAGAGCAGTATTGTCAGAAAGCATAGTGTGCCTGGCACGTAGTCCGCACTTAATAAATGTTTGTTAAATTGGACTGTTCTTTGTTGAAAACACGGCACTTTGCAATGTTCATTAGGACCTGTAAGACCTCTGATAGCTCAATCTGCTCCTTTTATGTCCTTCTGATTATTAGCCCTTAAACGGCACCTTCCATCAAGGACTCGCTAGATAGAATGCCCCATGACGAGGGCTTCCTGGTAAACCTTTGGGCGTTACATCTACCCTGTCGGTCCCCAGGATGTTACTCTGCTTATTTTCACAGCAGTTATCACCGCTTCAGTAGGACTTTGTAGGGGAAGCCTGTCTGTTATCTCCACCCTAGCCATACAAAACAGAGGCTTATGACTCCACAATGAGCTGTGCAGTAAATAGCCAGTTGTTACGGAAATGGTATCACCCTGTGCAGTGTTCTCTTCTGCACACTTAGAATACCCCATACCCTGATTCCAGTCTACTCACTAGCATCAGAATGCACACCCTCCACCATTCCATCTCTCCCTCCAGCAGTTTTTACACCTGGCATGTTAATTGGGCATAGAATCATTGGATACCCAGTTGTTCCTGGAGTTGGCCTTTTGCATTGGGCTGTTTTCCAATTAATAGTTGTTTTGGGTTTTTTTGTTTTTTTGGCTAGGCAATGGGGTTAAGTGACTTGCCCAGGGTCACACAGCTAGTAAGTGTTATGTCTGAGGCCAGATTTGAACTCAGGTACTCCTGAATCCAGGGCCAGTGCTCTATCCACTGCACCACCTAGCTGCCCTTCAATTAATAGTTGGAAATGTAGAGAGAATATAGATTTAGAGCCGGAAGGAATCTCACAGTCGTCCAGTGTAGCCTGTGCTGATAAAATAGAAGCACCTTCAAGGCTGGGATGGGTTTTAAAAAAAATCTTCTTTATATCCCCAGTGCCTATCAAACACTAGGTGCTTAATAAATGCTTTTTGGATTTGATTGAATCGGATTTTTCACCATTCCCACGGGCATGCTCAGTACCTTTAAACATAGAAGCTGAATGAAAACCCTTATTCCATAGCTCAATCATCGGTTTCCTTCCCAAGCCTATGGGCCATGGCCCTAGACTATGGAATGTGTAGACCTCTTAGTCCAGACATGTGGGAAACTGCCATATTGTTTGAATGCAGGGCAAAGTGGAGAGATTCCAAAACAAGACTGCTTCTTACTATGTTACTCATAGTTTCAAAAATTAGGTAATTTAAAACTGTTTAATATGGCATTCAATGCATGAAATAAAGGATGATAATTTTTCTTTAGCTGGAAATGTATACATTTGTTAACTTGTATAATTTTTTCCTGATGTTTCCAAGATGTAATTTGAGAAATTTTGAAAGTAATTTTTATAAAACTTAAAGAATTTATAGATTAAAAAAAAACAGGTTTGCTAAATAAGCAATAACCCCTTCCCATCATACCCAGACCATCTGATTGGTAGCTGACACCATCTGAATGGTATATTCACAATGATAGCACAGTGCCTTGCACATAGTAGGTGCTTAATAAATACTTATTGATTGATTGATAATGGATTGCAACATCCAAGGCACCCATACCTGTCAGCAGCTGGCGTGGTGTAAGACAGAGTGGTGAAAGAAAAAGGGGAAGGGGAACTGGAGAAAGAAAAGTCGGGCTAGGGGAGTCTGAGACTGATGCTCATAAGACTAGTTTATTTTCAGGTGTTACAGAATTATATACTATAGGAAACAGCTTTGTACCATGGGAAATGATCTATAAGCGCTAATTAATAACATAAACAGTCTAAGCAGCTAAAGATCCTCATTTTCTCATGAGAAAGTAGTTTTAATGCCAAATTTCATATCTTTTGTTTTCCTGCCCAGTTCTTAGTATTGTCTGCCACCTGGCCACCTGGCCTCAAGGCTAAGCATGAGTGAGAACTTAGAATCAACAAATGGAGCTAGGGTAAGAGTCACAGGAGTGTTTATCCCGAGGCAAGCCTCTATAGTACTGACCCCTGAGGTCTATAAGGGCTTAGAGATTTTCCATAAGGACTCGGCCTCCTATATCTGCCCCTTTTTTGTTTGTTAATTTAAGTTCGTGCAATTGACTCATTATTGGTCTGATGGTAGCATATATGAATCTTAAAAATAATAAGGAAACAAAACCAAAAACAAATAAAACCAATCCCATAGGGGAGCATATGCAAAAGCAAAGACATATTTGAAAAGGGTAAAAGTTGGTGTCATGTGGACAGGATAATGTTAGCTACTTTATTGGGGTAAATCCCAAGGCAGGGACTGCTTTCAAAGTTGGAAGTAATATCATGAAGAGTATTAATATTGAGGGTAATATTAGAATCATGCCAGGCCCCCAACAGGCGAGCACGTATCTTAACCTATGAGATATTAGGATCTGAAGCATTATAGGGTAGTGGAGTAACACAAATATATGAATATCTATAATCACATCGCAATAGCAACCTTGTTTTCAAGGTTTCTAACTCATCTCCTAAATACAATACTGATTGCTCTAATAAATTGACTTTATACAATATATCTCTATCAATAGCTTCTTGTGCTTTAAGTGCTGAACATATTTTTTGCTAAGTCATTTACAAATTATGCAGTTTAAATTTCAGATTGTAGCACAATAGATGAAACAGTAGTGGATACAATTAGAGAAGCAGCAATGATTAAACCAGTAATAAGGAGACCAATAAATTGTTTTGATTGACTTAAAGAGGAAGTAATAATTTGAGGGGCATATTCACCAGAGTTCTGGAATTATTCATGTGAGATGTTAGCAGGGAAAATAGCAAATGATGAATGTTCTACCAAAAGTACAATATAGTCATTATTATCAATACATTGTTTGAGAGTACAATTGACACAAGTAATATTCTATTCAAAAGTAGTATTAGATTGAGTAAAATTTACACATTCATTAGACAAACTGGTATTAAAAAATGATGTAACAAGAAAAAGACAGGGTTCAATATTGTTGCTAAATTTTGAAAAAACATATAAGTGTCCTGGATGCTAGAGATCTGAGGGTAATTGTAACATTGGCTCTGTCCTGGAGAAAGGGTATTCTTGGCTTCTGAATATAGGGGTGTTATTAGTATATATAGTTCCCAATTTGTCCACTTATGTGAGGGGTTGCAACCAGGGTGGAAAAGGAAAATAAGTCCAGTGTTGAGCACTCTATACATTACACACTTGAGCAGAAAGTAAAGCTGCTATTGCTAAAAATACAAGTTCAGGAGTCTTCCATTGCATGATGAGAGGGAGCTTTCACTTGACCCCATGTGGGAAGGCAACTCATCACTGTAGATCATCTCCTTCTGCGCTTTCCCCAAATCCTCATACTCTGAATTCGAGCTGTGAGTTGCGGTACACGCTCTGGCATTTTTCTCAGGTATCCAGACAGGTTTATCAAAGTTTTCTGAAAAAACACAAACATACCCTCATCTCCTCATTAGTAATGGATCCGGGCCTCTAGATGTTTATTTTTCTCAAGATGTTTTCCGGTTGGAGTGTATCCATCTTTGTTAATATTTAATTTTTTTTTCAAAATTAAAAAATTAATGCAATAGCCAATAGCCCAGGTGCCCCCTTTTTTGTTTAAGAAGAATAGTTTTAATATCTTTGTTTTTGATTATACAGAATGCCTGTGATCAGAGAAATGTTATAAAAAGCATAAAAGGAAGAAAATGTTTTGCTAATGTAAGCAGGAGCATTATCTGTTTCAATTTGTTTAGGTACACCCATAACTGTGAAGGCTTGTAAAATATAATTGATTACATGTTTAATTGTTCCACTTGTTGGTAAAGTGGCAAAAGTGAAAGAAGAAAAGGTATCGATTTTAACATGAATATAAGAAAACTTTTCAAAAGAAGGCATATGAGTTACGTTCATTTGTCAAATATGTTTGGGAGAAAAGCCTCTAGGATTAATGGCAAAAGAAGGAGGGTTAATAAAAAGTGATATATTTGGAACAGCTTTTAAAAAAATTATCTTTATACTATGTTTCTAATACTGTAGGGGTTAATTTATCAAAAAATAAGCACAAAATGTTATCCTCTCTACAGTTAAGGTTGCTGCATTGGTAGAATGTAGTTAATAAAAGGCCTAATAAAAGCTTAATAAAAAGTTAAGTGGCAGCATTTTGGTGAAACTGGGAATGAGAATTAATAGCTTATTGTATGGTAGGGTTTAAAAGTGTTGGATAGAATTGTAGTTAAGAATCAATAACGGCATTATTTTCAGTAAGAGGTCCGGGCAAATTAAAATGTACTAGTATGTGAGTGATATAAAGAGGATTGGTATGAGACTGAAGAAGAGTTTGTAATTGTTGAAAAAGGGAATAGAAATCAGGGGACAATATATGCTTTAATTTTGTTCTTTGTATATGTTGACAAACATACATAGAATATTTACTGTCTAACATTACATTAAGAGGTTCAGAAAAAAAATTTTTGAAAAAGGAGAATCAAAGCAAAAAATTCTGTCTTCTGGGCAGAGGAAAAGGAAGTTTAAATTACTTTGTGACGGTGTTGAGAAATATAATAACCAGCCTTTTCACTACTTAAGCTGTCAGTAAAAGCAGTGAGCACTTGGGGAAAGGGGCTGTGGGTAAAAGAAGTATTCTCCTCCAAGCTCCAAAGAGAAGAGCTTGCCAAACGTGAATCTTATTTGGAAACTACATTGACTCTATGCATTGGGTGCTGAAGGAATGGGGTTAGATCTAAAAATCTTTGGAAATACCCATGAATAATTAGTAAAAAAAAAAGGTTAATATCTTGAGAGATTGTAAGCAATTATCAACACGGCCAGAAAAAATAGTAATAGCAATTTGCCAGTCCTTTGAAGAGAAAACAAGAGTGTCTATTTGTATTTTATTATAAGGTTGATGAACAACAGAAAGTAAATTTCCTGTAAGTTGAAGATATCTTTTATGAAGTTTTATTATTAGAGAAGCTACCATTGTAGGATAAGGAGTTATAGAATTGGGGAACTGATGAGGGAGGTGAATCCATTCTAAGACGCCAGAAGACTGAAATAAAACTCCTATAGGGGACACTGGAGTACTAAGAATAGCACCTTGTACCTCTTTATTTAAAGAAATACGGGTGAGTTGAGCTTCAGAAATTTTCTGTTTGACTAATTGAAGTTCCTTTTTTTCCTCAGGAGTTAATGTCCTAGGGGAATTTAGATCAGGATCTCCTCTAAGTGTAAAAAAGAGATTAGCCAATTGTTCTGTAGTAATTTGGAGTGCTGGTCAAAGCCAATTAATATCCCCTAAGAGTTTCTGAAAATCATTAAGTGTTTTTAAAGAATTAAGGTGTAAGCATACTTTTTGTGGCTTCCGCCACAGGTAGGAAAATGGAAATTTTTCTTGAACTCTCTGGGGCTATAATAAGCCCATATTCCTGTAAAGCTAAATGAAACTGAGGTAATAAATGTGTGAGTTCGTTTTTAGTGGAACAGCTACAAAGTATGTCATCCATATAGTGTATTATTTTTGCATTGGGAAATTTTTTCCTAATTGGTTGTATGGCTTTATTAACAAAATTTTGACACCTTGTAGGACTGTTTTTCATGCCTTGAGGAAGGACTTTCCATTGAAACCTGGTTGCGGGTTGTTCTACATTAACACTGGGTATTGTAAAAGCAACATTTGTCAGCTTCTTG